AGGGATAAAATCATTCCTCCCAATTTCCACCTGTCATTTACCCTTTTACACGACTGAAAAAAAAACTTCTCTGAGCTTTATGAATTTCATGTTAACATGAGTTATTGTAAAACTCTCGGATATTGCCAAACGATTATCTCTCGGTCACGGCTGCGCATTTCCACGGATTTTCAGACTTTATATCCTGATTCACTCAGTTATATTAACAAGTATCACGCGATTCGGGTAAACGAACAACAATCACGCAACATGATCGATCATCCGTTGTCCCCTTGAATAATATAACATTACGATTAATGTCCCTTGAATTCGCCGATTTTCATTTTAATATCAAACGCAATAATTATTTCCCCATTGTCTAAAATTTTTTATTAATAATCGAACAATTTCTCTCTGCGCCTGTGGATGCTCATCGATTTAATCATTGGATTAAATTCACTCTCGCTGATTTATCTGATCAGCACCCTCGTCGAGAATTTCTATCTACCGGATGAATCAAGGAATTCACCCATTTCCCACTCATAAAATCCTCCACGATGATATTACTCCCAGTAATGAGTCGGTGTCCTCACTAGTTTTATTTACATCCTTTCCAGCCCTTTAAATCCCCTATCCGCGAATTACACCCCAAATTCTCCAATTAATTTAATCAATTCCATTAATCCTCCTTGAATTTATTTCAACGAATAATTATTAAACACCATTCTCCGTGGAATAAATACAAAAAATTAATGCTGTCACCTAATTAATTAATTAATTCAAATAAATGATGAATAAATTCGTTAAAGCTATTTGAATTAATTATCATCACTCAATATCGCGTGTATTAATTCGCGATAGCCACATTAATGCCATAAATAACTGGAGATTGCCTGAATAAAGTACTCGCCATGTTTTTGGTATTTTTTTTTTACCGGATAATCCAGGCTGTGGCGTGGAATTCCAGCACCACGTACATATATTTGTCATCCTGGGGCACGCCAAATGGTTTTACCACCCATAGTTTTTTTTTTCGGCTGTGCACGAACGAGAAATTCTTCCTCTTTTTTTTTTATCTAACTGTATATTTTTTGTGCCAACCCTCTGCTCAATGGCACGAAGCTTCCATCAGAGGAGCTTTTACCAGTGAGCATTCATCTCGTTTTGGATTATCAGGTGAAAGTGCACGTATTCCCCCTATTGTACGCGAATAATCCAATTGAAATTTAAAATAGCTAGTGCCATGGAATACCCATGTGTTGGTTTATTCATCAGAGAAGTCATTCTTCGTCAGTTTTTAGGGATTTTCAATAGTTCGGATTTTATTTTCTAAGTGAAAATGTTTTCTCGTTCTCGTTCTCTCGTTCGAGTGGAGATTTTAAATTCTAGTGTTGAGGGAGAGTGCGTCATTTTGTCTCGTTCAATTTTAAAAGATTTTTTAGGGGATACATGAATTTCTAGTGATAACGATTTCGTAACGATTTTGCATTTACAAATTTTTGCTAGTGGAAAAAAAAATAGAGAATTTTCCATTTTTCCGTTATAATTTTTCACTTTCAATCCCATTCATCTTGATAATCCAAGATTTATTCGCACGATCCTGATTTTTGGATGATTTATACTCAAATTTTGAATATTGAAATAACGGCTCGTGTGGGATGACTCGACGAGTCAATTCCGCGGTAGAAAATAAAACAAAAAAACGATGGAAGATAATGGGCAAAAGAACAACGAGAGGAATGATGTTGCGCAATGATGATCACCAACCGTGTCTTCCGGTTGTGAAGAGTCTTGTAGAAGCACGCGACAAAACCTAGGGTTTCATATTTTTTTTTTAAACTCACAAGAAGTGTAACACGTACAGCAGTCATGTATGATGTCTTGTACCTGACGAACGTATGACCAACCGGCTTAAATAAAAATATAAAAATCGAGAAACCTAAAACAAAAACGAAAAACCCCTTATCGATTTATTTCTTGAAATTTTTATTGCGGCGAAATTGATAAAATGTGATGTTCATTTATCCAGTGATCATTGCCAGTGTTTATTCAATCAATGGTAACATCACTCCGTCTCTTTGTGATCATCGCTGTTAATTAGATCGGGAATATCATCAATTTTATTGTGTTTGTTACTCTCTGATGAGTCCGATCTACCGAACATTAACTCCATTCGGTTTGCGCAGTGTTGTTATTTCAATGACCACATTGTGTTTTGCTAGGTGAATTCAGGGTAATGGAGATTGGAATAATCAATTGTCCACTTTTACGGGAATTCACGAATTTGTTTATTATTTTTAATCGATAGGATAACCAGAAAAATCAGCGATAAAAGTCACTTAACTCCCAAAAATAATTGTTTAAATCCCATTTAAACGTCAATTCATGCAATTAATTAATCCAGTAATTGAAAGCATCAACAACGAACACTTTTCGTTCACATTTTCTTTTTCCCAGCGCGAGCGTCAAATTTTCCGCGACTTCGATTAGTCACACGTCCTCGCCAATTCTCCGATTTATCCTTCAACCCTCACCTCACTCATCAGGTAAGAGGGTTAACGCGATTTTTTTTTCTCGAGATAAAACTTGTTGCCCGCGGTTGATTAAAATGTCAAGAGGAGATTGTGCCTCATTCGTTTGCGGGAAATGAATTCCAAAGATTCAACATTTTTACTCCCTTCTTCGGAAAATTACAGATTACCTGATTAGTCAGTGTTGCATATTTCCCCAGGTTAATCCAATTGAACTCTCATAAAATAAACTAAAAGAAAATATCAACTATTAATATTGAGAGTGACCACTAAATTTTTATTTTCGCGTCATGAATTATCACCGGATATTTATCTCTGTGCATATCTCTCCGAAAATTGATTCAAATTTTTGTTTTGCGAATAAAAATCGTTGGATTACGAAGAAATAATTATTATATATGGGAATACCAGAGTAAAATGGGTCGACTTGAGTTTTAAACTCCAAATTACTCGGTCTATTCAATAAAATAAGTCCCGAGTTGTTAAACCGAACAAGAAAGTGACCTCGCACTGACCACCAGTGCATAACAAAAAACCCATCCACCATCACATCACATATTTTCATTAAGGTCCAACGATTGCATTCGCTTAACCCAATGACACATATGCCTCCTACCCCTCATCAAAGTCTACTCCAAATGATGATAACAATTGTTTCATCTCTGTGATTATGTCGAACGATATACGCCGTAAATTTTCGTCGGTAATTACCGGATTTACGGAGGTGAAAAGAAACAATTGTGGGTTAAAATCGAGCCATGCGATGGAAAATATTGTTGTAAAAAAATAATCCCTGGTTAAAAAAGGATTTATTAACACACGAAAAATTAGCGAATTGGATTATGACTCGAGACAAGACTCGGACTTGACGTGAAAATTCGATAAAAGCCAGAGGCCAGTGCATTTGCATAATATCCCCCTTCCAGTACTGCGGACAGCTATCAAAAACTTTACTCACTGACATCCACCTGGGAGACATGAAACTTGGGGTGGAGTTTCACATTTCAAAACGACTTCACCATTTCACCGTCCTTTGAGATACCATTTTGTCCCTCAGTAATCTCAGTAATATCTCCACATATCCACATTAGTTATTCATTTTCCCACCACCTACCTTAACGAATGACATAATGTGCATACGTAGAGAATTAATACACAGAGATAAATATTCATAAAAAATTATTGATGAAATGAAAAAAGGAAAAATATTGATATTCAGGGAATACGATCTTGATTTTTCTCTGGAGAAAAATAAAAATCTCCCAGTGGAGGTAGAATTTTTGAAATCCAGGGATAAAATCATTCCTCCCAATTTCCACCTGTCATTTACTCTTTTACACGACAACCCAATCCCACCGTTATGCTGCTGACACGAGTAACTTGGCATGGTGAATGCATAAACGATGTGACGAGGCTATAAATCTGGGATCAGAGTGTATTGCCCCATATAAACTCTCCCTCAAAATGTTGGTTTGTATGGGAAGTGAAACTGTCGGTAGAGATCTAGAGAGAACGAATTTAAACTACTTGGCACTCGGCATTTATGCATCAGACAACAAAGCGTATGCGGGGATTGGTAAATCGGGCGTTTTTCCTGCCGACAGGACAAAAGACGAGTGGGTGATGTATTGGCTTTCACTCCTTTTACTTCCTCAGGTCTAACGACAAAAAGGAAGAAGAAAAAAAAAATACATAAACAAATGCAACTAGGGTACGCCGGTGCGTACATTGTCATCGAGTTTTTCCTCTCATTTCGTTGTGCAATAGCAATATTCAGTGAATAATTGCCATTGAAAAATTTTATCTAGACAAATTCCGTATTTCTAGTCTTCGCGCTTGAAAGGAATTTTTTTACTCTCATTTCGCCATGTCTTCTTTTTTTTCTTTCGTTATTTTCGTTGCCACTAGTTTTCACTGCTCATTCTGTCGCATCACGTTTTACTGCTCATCTTCACACCCCCCACGTGGAAAAATAAGGGAAAAAGGGTAGAAGAGAAAATAGGGAAAAAGGATTGAATAAATCCTCCGCCGGTGTCTAGCATGAAGATATGTCCCACACTTTATCGCCATCAGCTACGTAACGAGCAATAAGCAGAGATGATATTTATCATTGTTGTCATACCAAGACCCCATAAAAACTCGGAATTATCCATCGATTTTTCATATTTTTTCTCGATTTCCATCGTTTGCCATAAACAAACGACTGAAGATGGAAAAATCGATAGATTTTTATGGCAAAATAGATATGTTTTACGCGTACCGTCACGGTTTATTATTTTTTTTCTCATTCGTCATTGTATTCGTAATTAATACTCAATCTATAATTTTTCTTACAACCTTCAATTATAAATCCGTTTTATTCTATCGGTTGAAACGCGATAGCATTTTCAAAACGCAATTTTTCGACAGGTCTATAAAAACTGATAATCAATGACCCATTTTTCGGTTCCATTAATCCGTTAAATTCTGATAAAAGCCATTTACCGGTTTTTGAATTTTGTTTGTTCACACGGTATACACCAATTACCCTCGCCATTTCGTTGTTTCTGTTGTTAATTGATTAAAAATTAACGCGAGAGGATTTGCGGGGTGATTTGCGTCGGTTCATCGTTATCGAAATAGTTGGCTCCACTGGGAAATGAAATATTGGGGATATGAGAAACTGAATTTTCCCTTTTTGCCTTTAGCATTGAAACAATAATTTTAAAATTGACTGCCTGAAAACGGCGATTCCCTGGTTCATTCGCTCCACTCGCGAATCTGATGAGGAAATTTTCAATAGGATTCTCTGATTTGATTACGATTACTGGAAATAAATCAGTTGTAACAACGAGGAAAGGAACAATAACGATAAATTCTATTACAATTCAGGGACAATTAATTAAAAAAATAAAAAGTGTTCCAAATTTTGTGTTAACTACAGTAAAAAATGAATAATAATAAATAAAATGTGATAATGGTGCACATTGGAACATTATTCGCCATAATGGAAGAATTTCAAATGGAAAAGAATGGAATTGACACCGACTCCCTGGAGAACGAGGTGACAGTTCCATCAGGATGATCAATCATCCCCAGCAATCATCAGTTGACCTATTATTTATTGTTCCAGGCAATTCACACGACAAATGGCCCAAAGAAATTGGACCTCAGCCGAACTGGACTCTGGCGAATTCCAGAGAGCACCCTCGCATTTTCTGGAGCTGAAGAAATCCACCTGGGTGGAAATATGTTATCAAAAACACAGAGCAATCTCATAATTCTCAAGAGGTAATTATAAAATATTAAAAATATTTTCATGGATATATTTTCTTCTGGATAATATCGAATGGTGATCTGATGATAGAAATATCTTTGATTCATTAAAGATTTCACCGGCTACGGGCACTTCAACTCGAGCGAAACGAACTGAAAGCCATCCCCTGGGAGATACTCGAGCTCAACAAACTGACCTCGCTGGACCTTTCCGACAACAAAGTCCAGGAAGTAACTGGAGAGATCCATCGACTAGTCAAGTAAGTACAGTCCACTAGTTTCTGAAACAAATTGTGTGAATCTCTGGGGGGTAAAAGAGTGGGTGAAATTGGATGGGCTGAGGAAGACCCACTCGTTTCGAATCCGCTGGACAGGTTGCAATCGTCGTACCTAGCATTAAAAGTTTGAACACTCAATTTTCGTACATCCAAAAGTTCAACGTTTCGGGGTTTTCAAAGTTTCAGTCTCTGTGACAGACAAAATAATGAATATTCCGCGGTGATTTTTATTTTTACCCATCGAAAGCCATTCCCTGAAATTAGTTGTCGTTTTTTAATTGTTCATTGGAAATTACGGTTGGGATATCTCAGAATCAAAGGGAAATAGCGGAATTTTTATTATAACCTTTCCTGTAGCTGTCGATCGACTCTACAAAAAAGATTCTTACGAAAATTGTGTTATTCCTCTTAATTTCGGAGATATTCCCATGTATGATCGACTGGAGACATTCCGGTGTACTCAGGCCTCGGGGAATTTTCCCAATCGAAACAAAAATCTGAAATAATAATTTCACAGTTCAATTCTTCCAAACATCAGTCGTTAAATACACGATCGAGTAATATATAACTGTCAAATTCATCGCAAACGTGAAAAAACGTAATCTACAAGTGCCACCCCCTTGTCCCCCCGATATCGAGTATTTTACTCACTCGAAAATTTTATGTATCGCCTCTGGCGATCTTCGATAAGCATTTCCCAGTCGACAATGCTGCCAATGGAAAGAGGGGGGAAGAAAAAAAAAACTAAAGAACAGAAGGTGAAAAATAGGAGAAAAAAATAAAAAACCAAAACTCGAGAGAAAAGAGTAAGAAAGTTTTGCCGATTCCCTGCGGCGAGTTATTCTCGTTTTCAACTTCAACTCTCGATGTGTATCTTTCACCAATCCCTTTTCGATTTTCTCGTGTCAAACATCAACTTCTCGACAACGATTTTTCACAAATCCGTGAGCAAAATCATCCGTCCTAAAAATTGTCAATAAATATTTGTTCTCTGTAAACTCATCAATCGGTTATCGCAATGGTATCGATAAATCGAGAAATTTTGGGTTTCATTCGCTATTAAATCGAGCCCGCATTGTCCATAGCTATTGACAATTAATCTACGTCAGTATTTCCCTTTTCACTTTGGTTTATTCGATTGGTCGTTTGCGGGTCAACGATTTTTGTTTCACGTGACTCCTGACCCGCACTATTCCAACAGCATTTCCCAAAATTCCAACAATTCTCATTATTTCGTCTCGACTCTGAGTCGAGTTTTTCCGAGTTAGATAATTGGTAATTAATTTCTCCCCAGAGAACCAATTATTTCTTTGAAGAAAATGGAATCATTCCAGTCAATCCCCTCGAAAAATTCTTCACAATTTCAATTAAATAATTATCATATTAATGATAATTATGATATAATTGTAATAATTGGAGTTGATCGACTCTCTCGTTTTTCTCGGAGAATTGAATTGAATGATCAACTGTCCGTGAAATGAATTTGTTTTAAAGTCCATTATCACTCCTTTCATCCGAACTCATCCTCAAATTTTCTCAATTCATTCTCCTCGAGGCATCACGGAAATCCCGACGAAATCCAATTCCCCGGTGAAAAAAAAAAGAACTATCCTCCAGGATGCTGGACGTTTAATCCCATCAGTTGAGCCCTCCAGAGGGCGGCTAGGATGTAATTATACGAGTGAGGATTACGCAAGTTTCGGAAACTACTTTACGTGTCTGCTGCGCTAGAACACGGATGTACCAAAGTCGGTAAAACGGTGGGAGGAAATGCCGAATGGACAGGGGAATTCCTCCTCCACTTTTTCTTTTATAATCACCATTATTTTCTCTCCCAAACTGAGACGTCATTCTCGTAGGGATGCCCTCCGTGCATTTGCAGTCGTAATCTCTGATAAAATTTTTCTCCGATTTGTTTAAAAATTAAAAAAAAAAGATGAATCGATTAAATATTTTTTGCAGTTGGAAAAATCATATGGTCAGGCCATGACATTTCCTGTCGATGACATTTTATTTTTTCACATATTTTTTTGATAAAAATATAAAGAATTCACGTCGGGTGTAGAAATAAAAATTCTGGAATAAAATAAATATGCTAGAATTTTCAAGTCGTTAAAAACGTTCCCATCAACTCGGCAGTTATTCAGAACAAAAATAATTGTTTATTACTTTGCCATAAAATATAGACAGCCAATGAAACAGTGACACGGTTTCTGTCGTATTTTCGTTTTACACTCGCGATAGGACATGCCATAAAAAATATCCAACCAAAGAAAAAAACAAAATTCTTGGATTTTTTAAACATTCGGACAAAAATTTCAAAAGCAACTCAAAGTTTTCGAGAGCAACAAATTTTTATTGGCACAATTATCGTAGTAATTAATTGCATACAGTCAATTCCATGGGTATTTATTATTCTTTATATTTAATTTCCCAATCTCCAATCGATTTCTAGAAGATAACGTTTCACCGAATCCGCGTATGAATCGCAGTCCCACAATGCGAGAAATGCCTCATCCGCTGATTTACATGCCATAACTGAAAAATAATCGCAGATGATTTACAAAAATGATGATTCCACGGTTCCTCATTTTTCTATGGAAAATAAATCGTTCAATTATCAGGAAAAATTATCAGAAGTCGTTGAAATTCACTTTCCAATCGTTTGAAATTATTCCAAAATAATTTTTTTCTCATCAATCGATCCAATCGTGCGATGATCGAGTTACCTTTCTTTGCGCATTCTAGAACAGGTTCGCTGTAATTTTCCGTGAGCTTTTGCGGTTTTTCCGCAATATCTTGATGGGATTCTTTGTATTTTTCTGCATTCCCCTCGATTTTTTCCGTTTCCTATTGACAATATTATTAAATTTCAATATTCATTACAATTTTTAGGAAATAATTATCTCTCTTACAACTCCGGTCTCCTGGCTGCAAACGATTTTTCCATTTTCCTCCGATTTCGCTGGAAACCGCGGGAAATTCGAGTTAATAGTAAAAAATTTATGGGCATTGGAAATATTTGAATAAATTTAAAAATAAAATACAAAGACTTACGATCGGCAATACAGTGTCCCGCAGATATCGCGGGCTCTTCGATTGCCGATTTTTTACATTTTCCGACGGCCATGACAATTAAACCAACGAGAATCCCAAAATGAATATTCAATTTCATTTTCGTTTAAAAATCCAAATAAATTTTCGAGTTTAACTTGACGGTACCGTATTTTCTGAAGAACTAGCAACAATTTATCTCGTACCAGAAGATTCTTGTCTCTTCTCGTAAAATATCGTCAAAGCAATAAACAACAGTATTTTTACTGGTTTTTTTTAGAAGATACACTAGATGATGGTATTCCTAAACCTTCAACAGAACGGAATTTTTATTTTTTTCAATAAACAATGAACAGAGAAAAATTGATTAAATTTACATTAAAATTCCTCGCTTTTTTTAAATCTGGATGAACTCCCCGATAAAAATTTTCCTCTGTCTCATTGTTCGCGGGTAATTAATGGAATATAATTACACAACTGGTGTTTTTGATAGGATTGTCTCTAAAAAATCGAAACCTATCTTTTTATCTGTAGACAATTCGTATTTCAATATCGAATGGGCAAATAGAGGTATTTGATTTTCCTTTAACTTGGGGCCGATGAACTTTTACCAAAATATTGTCAACAATATTGAATTGAATTTTTATTTTCCTCTCGGTGAAAAATCTGAAAAAAACTTACGAACCCCAAAAAGATTAAATCATTGAATTATAAGAATATAACAGTCTAGTATTTTTTTCTTTATTAACTATCGACTCCTTGAATTTAACAAAGCGAATCTTAAATACTTTCTTTGTTATTGATTAACAATAGATTCCATAAAATTATCGCACATCATCAGCTCCAAATAATATTCATTTTCTGCTCGATCTTCGCAGTCGTGTAGCGCCTGGACTAGCTGTTCCGCATCTCTGTCCGGTTGCACTATAACAATTATTTAAATTGAATAATTAATGAGAGGAAAGGCAGACTAAAGTTGCAAAATTTACCAGAAAAAAATGCCAGTGTGTATTAAAAAAGAATTGATTCGTGGAAGTAAATGGAGATAATTCAATTTTCAAGCAATTAAAAATTTTGAAGTCTTTGAAAGAAATAATTTTTATCGATTAAAAATATTGTAATTACCGGCGTTTATACACCGCTCCATATTCTGGAAGTAGACGTCCACAAAATTGTGTGCCCCGTTAATAAGGAATACCTTAACCAATTTTTTAAACATTTCAAAATTTATCCGACCGTCTTCCGTGATCTGTTGAACAAAATGACAAATAATTAATAACGATTATTATTTATTTTGTTTAATTAGAGATATAATTTTTTATTGATCTGACCACTCCTGCATTCTTGTATGTACAAACATCGAGATCCATTGACTGAGGATCGGGTATTATTCCATCTAAAAAAATTTATTATATCAAATTATAATCTCGATGACATCAAGAATTTAAATTACTGCGACAACTGAATTTCAAAATGGCGATTTCGAGTATTTCCGAAATTCCCAAGCAATTATTAACTTTATTGTTATTATTATTATTTTTTTATTTATTAATTTCGGAATAATTACCATTTGCAATGCAATTGAGTCTGAAGTTCTTGAAAGGTTTTCTGGTGCAAGGGCCATTCCAATCTAGACTCTGACAATTTGACAAATTCATTACTGCGAGAGAAAAGATAATAACAAATTGGATAGAACTAGACATTTTTTATTGGCAATTAAGCTCTTGGAGTCCTTGGAGAGCAAATAGTAACGAATAGGTTCTGAACTTTGAAGACAATCGACTGATACTTTTATAGGTCAAGACACATTTTCTTATCGCATACTTACTGGTCGATGTCATAGATTCTCGGAATTTTTCGTTACCTAATGAAGTTTTTATCTTCATTTATTTTCACATCTGGCCCGGGAATAATAGAAATTTTCAGAACATGTGCCAAAATTGCCACACCCCAGCTCACCATCTATTTGTTTTTCGATATCAATCGAAAGTTCATTGTATAGTAAAAAAAAATAGTTCAAGTGTGAATAATACTTCTCCCAAAATTTCGTGTTGAAAAACTCCATTTATTAACGAACAAAATAATTCATGGATTGATTCATAGCGTAATTTAAATAATTTATTCATAATAAATGAGGTCATTAAATTAATGACGAATTGTTGTAAAAGGGAGTACCATTTTGAAAATTGATCATTTTAATTCCCATAAAATTTGGACAAGACTTCTTACCCTTTGACAGGTACTATTCACCTCGGTAACTCGATGAAAGTACGGGGGGTAACGATTTATCGATGGGTGGGTCGGAAACTTTGAAAATGAGTTTGTAAGCTTCTGAGCATAAAGTTCTGGTGTAGACCATACAGAGAAGATTGCCATCACATAAACCGCGGGGATCCGTTGGGTGCGGATGTTCTGCCCACCAATTGTGGCGAGCCAAAGTCTTTGTGCCCATCCAAAGGGGTTATTTCCTCTTTTTCTTATAAAACAGTTTCACAACTTCTTTTATCATTCGTATTCAACCATTATTTCCACCACCAAAAAGCTGTTTCCCTTTCATAACCCAATATTATTCGAAAATATAAAATTCACCCCCAAAATCAAATGATAAGTTTCCATTGAAATCTAATTCAATTCACTCTTAAATAATCCGCGATCGATATTCATTGTTTTTTATTGATTTGATTTATTGACTTTATTAATTCCTCAGAAATTGGTTTATAATTTTCAATCGTGTCTCTTTCTCCTCGAAAATTCAAGTGTCAAGTGTTGAATTAAATCGAAATGAAATCCCTCGTCAATCTAAAAACGTACGTTCACTTGTACCCGAACAATACAGTTCTGCCAGTGTTAGTGGGCCTTTTATTTTTTTTTTTAACGTGAACATCTCGAGGTAGTGCATCGGTCAGATACTCGTGTGTACGAAGGACTTCCTCGCCACGGTTGCCCGACTCAGAGCCGACACTGAGTTTCCTTTCTTTCCTTTCTTTCCCTACTTATATTACTTACATCCGGGGGAGAGGGATGGGAGGGGTAAGCAACCATTCTGAATTTTTCCAACACTCCACTATTCTGATACTGTCTTCTTTCGTGTGCAGATCGATACACTTTATTTATCGAGAGAATCGAATATATCCTACGACCAATTATTTCCCCGTCAATTTATTATTTTTTTTTCACCCTCAACCCTTTTATTGATTTTTTTTTCCTGAGAATACCGGGAGTTTTGTGCAGTCTTTGCAATTTTTTGTGAGGTGATTTATTATGACACCGTGGATTTCACGAGTTTAATGGGCGATTATTAATTAAATTATTGTGCAGTGATTTTGGGAATTAAATTTTTTATTTTCTCTACAGAGTATTTGAAAAATTGTGGGCAATAATTCCAGTGGTATCTTTTAATCTTCATTGATGCAACGAGCATTCCGGATTATGAAATTTAATTGATGGAATGTGTTGTTAATGTTATAAAACAGAATTTACATCACGTTTTCTCGAAAATTTACGGTACGTTCGGTAGCCAATCCTTTCGAAACTTCTAGCCTGACTGATTTTATTCGTACGAGTTACCACGCGTGCTCAATACTTATTTTTCATACATGTCTAAGTACACGTTACAATTTAAAATAAAAATATCGCAACACCGTTTCGAAAATAATTCATGACGTAAAATTCCGGATAATGTAAAAAAAGATCCGCGAATTTTTGACTGAGTAAAGGGAGAATTTATTCTTCAGGGGAACACTTGTTAATTAATTAATAACAATTAATCCAATTCGGAGAATGGGCAATGGGGAAAAACGGAGATTGAGCATTATGAAAATATTTATTATCTATTATTATCAGTTAATCATTGAATTTGTAATTTTTTCTTTTGCAGTTTGCAGGAGCTGGTACTTGATCGTAATGGGATCAAGGAATTACCGCCCGAAATTGAACTTTTGAAGGAACTGAGGAGCATCTCTCTGGCTGGAAATAAATTAACTAGTTTACCATCATTTCTGAAAATGCGGGCACTCACTCTGGTGAGTACATAAATTTCATACGAAATTTTCATACCAAAGTAGATGAGAAAATCCATTCATTACGAATGCAAATTTTACGCTGCGCATCCCTCGAATTTTTTTATTACAAATTTTCCTCAAATCCGTCTCATATTCATTCATTACAGATAATCTCATATTTGTCATAAAAATTATTACCGTTTAACAAAAAAGGAAATTATAATAATGAAATGAGGGGAAAAAAAATTAGACCGATAATTGCAAAATATTTCTGAAAGTTAAATTATTCTTTAATTAATTAGCGACCCAGCTTTCGCCGGGCACACAAAAAATTGTCTTATAGACTCATCAATTGTTCCCCTCCACGGAAATCTTTAGTAAAAGGCGAAAGATTTATGCGTGTATTGAAGGGAAACCAGAGTAATTATGTTGCCGGTGGACAGTCCATTCATGTACTTCAACACGGGAATTCACTCGTAGAAGTAAAAACGATCGTTCGCCATCGCACAGCGTTCCCGCGAACTTTCAAAACCTCCACCTAAACGCGCGCACTCCACCTTGAATTTAAGTCGATATACACCACATGAGCACTTGAACAATTATTCATGTTTTCAAAATCAATTTTTTCAATCAATTCAATTCAATCAATCAAACGGAAAGAAAAGTTGAAAAGACAAGTAAAAAAAAATATATAATCACCCCCGACCCATGGGCCCATGGGCCTGATTTAGGATCATTTATTATAGGCCCCTCAGATAATACCAATTGAATATTATTACGAGAAATATTAATACCAGGAATTAATACATTATATCGCAATATTATTGAGAGCAAATATTTAGCAGAATGATTAGTTGACATAATACAATTGTATGTCGACAGGATGTGCTCACGAAAAATGAGACGGTTAAGCTGAAGGATGAAAAAAATAACCACAACAACCTCCACAAAGTGAATCTCCGTAACAATCAACTGAAAGGGAACATAATCCTCGGTAACTACGGGGTAAGTACATTCACAACTGCTGAGTAAAAAAAAAATGATAAATAAATTTCCATCACTTTCGTATCCCTCTCCAACTCCATTCTATTTGTCACAGAATTTAACCCATTTGGACGTGAGTGAAAATAGCATCGAGAAATTAGACGTCAGCGCTTTACAGGAATTACAGAGTGCACGCTGTGCTCGTAATTCTCTAACGGAATTAACTCTGTGCGGAAGGAATCTCGTGTCCCTCATCGCTGGAAATAATAGTAAGCTCAGTGATATGCAATTAATTAATGTCAGTTTATAGTGCTACAATTAAGTCATCTAATGAATTTTTTGTTGCAATTGATATCTCATTTAGATATTTGTTTTTAGAATTGAAGAGACTCACCATTCAACCGGTGCCCACGAATTTGGAACATCTCGATGTGTCTTAGTAAGTTAATACTACTGATCAATTAATTAATTATGAGCTCATTTAAAAATACAAATAATTTCTCATTATATTTTTCGTTAAAACACGAGGATTTATCACAGGCGTAAATTTTGTGAAAAATTAAAGAACTCGAGGTACTTTTCACTTCTGTTAATTAAAAATATTACTATCATCCAATTAAAATTTTTTGAATTCACTCGGTTGATGAGATAATGCCGTTTGAAGTCTGGAAAAGCGAGAAAAGGGCTCAAACAACTCGAGAAGCTTTTAGACAGATTAAACTTGACTTATGAATGACATTAAATGTTTTAGCAACTGTCTAGATGCATTGCCAGAGTGGATATCTGATTTGCCAGGATTGCGTGCGCTCTTTGCATCCCACAATGATCTCACAGCCCTGCCAGACCGCCTATTATCACAGCCATCGAGGCTTGAAGTACTTCATTTACCTCACAACAGATTACAGGCCCTTCCACCCCCTCGAAAGCCCCTCAACATCGTTCATCTGACTCTGCAGGGTAATGCATTGACAGCATTACCTATTACCTTCTTCCAGAATACCGAGAGGTAATTGAAAGCCACTTTCAAGCAATTGAAACTATTTTCCAATCACCAATAATTGAATTCCAGATAGTCAGTGTAAATAATTAATTTGGGACATCCCAGACAATTAAAATCAGTTTATTTCATTGATCCAGGATGAAGGTGCTGAATCTATCCAACAATCGGCTCTCAGAACTTCCATACACCGAGGAAGCTGCCAAAAATCGTACGTCCCCATCTCTTGAAAAACTTTACTTGACTGGTAATTGTCTGACGGACGCTGCACTCGACGCCTTGGGAAAACTCTCAGCACTTCGTGTACTTCATCTGGCCTACAATGTCCTGGATACTCTCCCTGAAAGGTATGACAGTGATTTATCTTGGCGAATCGACATTAATCATTTATATTCCCTCCCCCAAATCCATTTCTACGATAAAATTCATTTTACCCTGATAGAATGCGCCTGAATAATTAATTACCCCAAACTCTCTGTCATTTCTTCACATTTTTTTACCTTCGGATCCTCAATTCAATCAATTCCAGTAATTCCAATAATTAAAATCATTTTCCCAGATGTTTTTAATTAGCGAGAAATTGCAATGAATGGTGAAACGTGTGGCAGAAATTAATTATGACAAAATACTTTTGCCGCTCTTCGTTATTTACTCCGTGAATTACTCGTTGTGCATTGTCCATTTGTTTCTCACAATCAGATATTACACGACTCATATTATTTACGACGTGATAACAGTTTGTAACAAGTTTTAATATCCTTACCAGCTGTATCGCATCGTGGCCCGATTTGGAGGAGTTAGTACTGTCTGGCAACCGTCTGCAGTATCTCCCGGACAATGTTGCGAATTTGCAGCATCTGCGTGTACTGCGAGTCCACTCTAATCGACTTTTGACCTGTCCAACATTTAATAAAACTAGGTCACTAATGGTAAGGATATTTTACAATTAATTCAAAAAATATCCAACTCTCCCGTGAGCTTTTTCCAAATATCTCCGAAATTAGAAAATATACCGGAATTTTACCTACAATTTTTTTTGTAGATATAATCACGAACTGAAAAAATTTTCTAGGAGAAATTTCGCTGTCTCTCTCAGTTTCGAGGATATTTCCGAAAATTCAGCAACGAAATTAGATTTTTTTCATTATTTCATGGCATTTTTATTGATTGTTGTGGGATCTGGTGGGGTTTTTTTTTATCTTTCAGGTGCTTGATCTAGCTCATAATCAGCTGGACAGAGTCAACCTGGCAACCCTTGTGCCCCCACAGCTTCAGTTTTTAGATATCTCCTGCAACTCGCGGCTTCACGTCGATCCGAGACAATTCCAGGTGTACAGGTCTCAGAGGCCTGTCTCTCTCATCGATGTTTCTGGGCAAAACCGACCTAGTTTACCTTCCCATCCCCTCCAGCAGGAGGTTGTGAGTGCTGAGAAGGGCCCTGAGCAACCCTGGAGACTTGGTTTCTCCGAAACTGCAGGGATGAGAGAAAAGTACGTTTCCAAATTCAATCCGTAATTAATTCTCTCAATTTTCAACAACCAAAAAAATTACCTCCCTTAAATTTCAAAATTTTCTTAAAAATCGTATAAAAATAAAATGCACCCTGGGGGGGAATTTTAATCTCCACTTGATTTTGCACAGACTCTACATCTCCCAGATCCGAATGCCCTCCTTCTGCAATACGGAGGGCCTCTTCGGGATCTTCGACGGTGGTACCAACCAAGAGGCCCCGTCAGCCCTCCAGGAGATGATTCCCCGATTGCTCCTGGAGGAGCGAACAATCAGAGAGACCTCCAAGGAGTACCTGAAGTACACTCTACTGGCGTCCCATCGAGAATTGAGGGAAAAAGGCCAGAAGTACGGTGTAGATGCCACCCTCATTCACATAACTCGGCTCTCCACCCCCCAGACGTTCTCCAGGGCTCCAAAAAAGTACTCGTTGAGAATTTCCTCCTGTGGAGAGACAAAAGCTGTCCTCTGCCGAGCAGCAGGTCCTCTTCTGCTTGCTCCTTCTAAGAAGCCACCACCAACCCATCAGCTGGGTAATGCATCGATGTTCCCTCTGGTTACACCTGATCCCTCCACCGAGGAAGTTCACCTCGAAGATGATGACGAGTTCATTATCATTGCAAATAAAAAACTCTGGGAGGTTCTCACTATTCAAGAGGCTGTCAGGGAGGCAAGAGCAGAGGCATCTCCCGTTCTGGCAGCCAAACGTCTTCAGGATCTCGCGCAGAGCTATGGGGCTGAGGACAATGTAAGCGTCATTGTGGTGAGACTCACCGGATCACCATCTGGTGATCTTGATCAGCTGATGAGAGAGTTACGTCATGCTGTCACCAAGAGTCGACCCCAGAGCGAGGTAAATTGCGCTTGTTCCTGCTGCTGTCCTCCAGCTGCTCATAAACCTCCAGGTGCCTGTTGTTGTCATGCAAATGACGGTTTTTATCTCAATGGAGTTCTGAAAAATATTGTGAACCGAGGGAGCTCTCGTCCGGGTTCAGGGCGTTACTTCAAGAATCCTGGAAATCCGGAGAGCTCCAGTCCACCGTTCAGAGACGACAGAAGTTCTCCGAGTGGTCAGTCAGACCAGACAACAGACAGCACTTTCAAGACGAGGGGAACGTCCGGGAGAGTATGGATGGGATCTGCTGCCTCCAGGGCAGCCTCCAAGAGCAGGCAAAATATCATTGTCCATGAAAACACCTGCAGGAAGGAGGAAGTTGGCTCTGAGAGGTCTGCAGCCCTCAGCGAGGAGCAGTTCAGATGCTGGGAGTACATGCTGGAGCAGAACACCCACATGCTCTTCGACAAGGAGCTGGACACCATCTCCAGGATTCCATTGAGGAGGGGACAGTCCAAGTCGACCCCTCAACTGGCTAATCTCCCCTTTTTGTCCAAGCGATTTGGCAGCGCCAGGTCCTTCCATCCTCCACTTCCCAGGGCACCCATGATGAGGTTAGTTATTATTTTTTTTATTACCATCTATTCAGAAATTTTCTTCAGAACTCTTTTAACAATTCAAGCAACTTTTTTTTTTCTTTTTTTTTTGTGTCAGATTTGGGAGCGGGAGAAGATTTCTGAATGGGGGACCCAATGCTGCTTATTTTGGAAGCCTCCAGAGGCTCATGCCTTATAATTTGGAATATGACTTTGCGGTCATTCAAGAGAGACGAATGGACTCCCTGGAGCAGGATGCTTCCAGGATGCAGCAGTACTGGGGTGTTGCCACCACAGAGTTGTAGAAAGATACCACGAAATTACGTTCGTTGGCGATTCATTTCTCCGTTTTTCATATACTCTGTGAATTTTTTTAAATATTTTTTTTATTCGATATATTGATGTACATAAATTCAATAGCTTTATTTTTTGGAATAAATTGGATCAAAGCATTCAGGTTTCATCCAGTTTCCTGTCATCTAGGATTTAATGGTGTCCAAAGTAATTTCCATTTTCAATTTTTTCAGCAATTTCGACTCCCTCGATTTAGATGAATTGAAAATGAAAAAAAAAATCCTATTCCGAAAATAATAAATAATTTATATTGAGCAATCTTCCAATTTACCGGACAGTAGAGCAATTTGAATTGTTGTTTGCATTTAATTAGCGATATACTGACGTTAATTTTCAACAAATCATGAATACACGTGGGTAATGAGACAGAGTACTCCTGAAAATGCATTATTTCCTCGTTCTTGCTGTTCTTGTACACAGCGATAACGTTATCTTATTTGCACATGGGTATTCAAATCGTCTGTCACCTTGCTACAGCAACAGATAGAATAATTATCCCAAAGTAAATAAAATACGTGGAAACAGGAAAAAACAATTGCACAATAACAGAAAATTCAATAGTCCGCGATTCTGAATACCCTGTGCATTTTTTTTCATTCTTTTTTAATTTCATTTCCATCAAGATAATGGAATAGAAAATATTTACAAGAGAAATACCACCGGGTAAATTCTATAGAAAATATCCTCGTGAATTATTTATCTGTTCGTTAAAAATTCAGTCCCAGAAATTTTTCGCTGTACAGCCAGTGCTCTGTACACACGACATACAATTCAAGGTTGTATAAAAAAAAAATGGATCGATACGGCCATCGAAAGTCGAGAAAATATTCTCTGAAAATTCGAAATTAAAATTGCATCATCCAAATTCTAGAATTTTGAATTGCCACATTTGATTCTACGTAAAACTTGGAGGTGTATTGATTAGTGGCAATTATTCAATTACAAATTATGAATAAATAGTATATCGAAGTTGTAAGAGGAAATTCCGGAAATTTGAAAAGTGAAAATTATGTCAAGCAATTTTCTATAAATAAAACGACAAGAACAAGTGGTGCGCCAGTTGTTTCGTCGATTTCGTCAAGTTCGCTACCTCCACCCCTACGTTTTTACAATTTTTTTTTACATCGACCCCTCCAATTACGCGAGTCAGAAATTAGTGCAGGTTCGTGAGTCCCTCGAGTCACATGCGAGGGGTTTTCTCGATTTTTATCGGCAGGTGAATGGATTTCCTCACCGTTCCCTTATCCGTCTGTTTCCGGCCGAAATTTTCGGTCTAGACAGATGATCCCGGGATCATCAGATTCTTAATTAAATTTACAATTATTTTTTAACGCGATTGTGTTCTTTGATTTTTATTAGTTTTGGGTTGAATTTTTCAGAATTCATTCGATTGTTAGATGTTAAATCTAGTGAAGTGAGATTGTGGGGGCCATGATGCCCTTCCAGAGAGAATTAAATTAATTCAGTTCCGGTATGAACGGAATCACTTCAAATTGCTGAGTGCATGACTTTCCACATTAGGATTCGGATTACGAGAAGTGTTTCCTTTGGCTAGTGAACGAGTAATCATTTCAGGAGCTGATAAGATACCCGCACTGCCGTGGCCTGATATTAATCAAGGTAAGACCACACAATAATTCAAACAGTCATTTATACTAATTTCTCCCATTAATCACGCGGTTAAATCACTCGATAGAAACACTTCGCCGTTTGCATAATTTCCCTCAAAACCCATTGGGTTTACGAGAAAATGTCATCCGACTTTTCTGTATAAAATTTAATTCCCCACAAAAAAGGTCCTATAACTTTTCTGTTTGCACCTGTAGTTTCCGAGATATCGGCGAGATAATGGGAGCATTCTTTTCCGATCCTGTTATTCACTTTTTCTGCACACATTATTATGCCAGTCATGTTTCGAATTCATCACCATTTTCTTTGACAATATCTCGTCTCGGTTATTCGAGCTGAATATTCTCGGTATTCTGAATAAAAATTGAATTGTCGCAGAAAATGATGAAAAATAATATAAATTCTTAGCCCACAAAATGAAATTCCAATTTTAATCAGTTTTAGTAAATTCCTCCGCTCTCATTCTTCGTTCTAGTATTTTTTATTGTAATATGCGAATACCGAGTGTCACTTAGCGAATAAAAATGCGGAAAATTGTCCCACGATATCATAAATCCAAGGATAATAATGAGAGAATGTAGTTATTCGCTTCCGCGTATGAAATCACAGACCTTGACCGAAACGGGCATGAAGCCAGAGCATTGCGAATTCACTGTACACAGTAATTGCACTTGTGCTCCAACGGTCGATAGTTCATGCTGTGTAGTTTGTTCAAGGAAATTTGCACGTTTAGTGCAAACAAACAAAGAGAAACATCCGAAAATTTGTGAAAGGGATTTTCGGAGTTTTTTGGAAATATCTCCAAAACTAACAGTGAAAATGAAATTTTTATCAAAATATTTTTTGTAGACCTAACTGCAAGCTACGAAAAAGCTTTTGACACAAATTTCGCTATTTCCCATTGTTTCGAAAATATCTGCGAAAAACTCATTGAAGATCTAACTCTCATCGGCCAATGATTATTAAAGTCAAATTTTTATTCTCAACGAATATCTCAGAAATTACTGGATTTACAAAAAAATATTATCAACACTTTTTTGCGGAGAATTGAATTTTCAAGAAAAAAGTTCCTTATCATTATCTCCTGAAAGGCCTCCTTTTCGAAATACAAAAAATTTCGTTTTTCTCTTCGCAAATTAGATTATTTCCCGGGGAATTACAAACTGAACAAATACAGTCGATTGACGTAACAGCCTGAATCTCTGCAACCTCCTCTCATTTTTCCAATATTTTCTATGATAAACGTAAGTTCACGTGCAATCGTACGACTCGAGGTTTATCGGTTTTAGTGCTTGCACGAGGTACAGAAAAATGGAACGTGACCTTACGTGGTAGATGAAAAATATGGATCCAATGGAAGCCGTAACAAATCGTTACAGACATCTCACCTCTCCATAAATAATAGTAATAAGTAAACAAAAAAGAAAAATGAGAGGAAAAGCCATATTTCCTCCAGATGAAACCCACCGACTATTCCCCCATAAAAAAATTGCATTTTCTTCTTCTCAAATTAATTTCCCGGGAGAGTAATCTCAAATTATTTAAAGTATATTTATTTTTCAATAAAAATAACGACACGTGTGAAGGAATGAACAGCTGATATGTCAGATAGTCGAGTGAATGAGAATTCAAGACGTGGCATATGGTAAATAGTTGTGGAATTTATTTTAAAGCCTGTAGGTCATGGAAATATTCATTCAAGTCCTCTTTCCCTTATTTATATTTTATGCCGAGTTCAGGGTGTAACAGACGCTGACAATTCCTACGATTCGTCTCCCCCAACTCATTATTTATATTCGATGAAGTGAAATTATTCATACGACGTAGTTTTCTATTCAGTCGGGGTCGGTGGAGTGTATGTACTAACATTGAATCTCCTGCCAAAAGGAATTTCACAAGACTTTACATCATCCCTCCAAATATCATTATTTTCCTTGAAAAATATCGCGAAAACGAAGGATAATATAAAAGAATAAATTAATCGAGTGATTCTCTCATAATTATTTATATTTCTTCATGACAAATAATTTTTTACTTAATTTTCTCTCTGACCATTGAAAATTCTGGGGTGGGAAAATTTTTCGGTCATTGCCCTTGGCAGCAAATTGCAAAAATAATTCATTTGGCTAATGATAAAAAATCGAATAACATTTCTTTCGATGTTAGAACAATTTTCAATTATGAGAGATGGAATGAAATTATCGATATTTTATTCTAGACCTTTTATGACCGCGAGATAAACAGGTTCCGAGTAATTGCATAAGTCAATACAAACAATACATCAACGGACGGGTTCAAAGTCCGAGCCAAGTGGTAATGCTCATTTATTTTTATCGATTTGAATGTCCACGAGTCCGATCCCGACGCACGTGACGACTGTTTGCCTCCCACCGACAATAAAAAAATGAAAACAAGTTTCTGCGTCACCCTGTTCACACTCATACATCATGCAAACGTGTTTACGCAGATGTTGTGATTAGTCAGATACACGTGGCTCTCTCAGAGATAGAGTATGTATTAAACATTCTCATTAACTCTACATTCCATTCATTCTGGTTCTTCATAATTAGCTCAATTAATTCTCATCCAAAAAATGACGGAAATAAAATCGAAACAATTGTTCTTTTTTTAGAAACAGAATGAAGCGAGTGCAATGACTGAACAATTTTCTGATACTATCTTGCAAATATTTCCATTCTTTATCCCTGAGAATTCAATCACTCATTCATTCGTGTTTAGAGCTATTGCCCGTGGAGTAGACGTTTAGAATTATTGAATTGATTATTTAGATACTTTTCGATAGTCATAACAGGAGAATACGCGTGCAATGAGAATCAGTTCAATTTCTCCGGGTAACAACTAGTAATTTTCTTCATTGTTCGATTATTCAATTTACACCAACAAATAGCTTAGTTGTGTCTATTACCGTACCGTATTGCATGACACTTGATTCAATCAATCACGATTCCCGCGTAAATGCACGTGCCGTCAAAACGATTTTATTTCTAGTGATATTATTTATGTCCATCGAGTCTCATTTCCCCCACAAACCTTTCGAGATGATTTTCAACTAGCTTTTTCCTGTCGGGACCGCATATGATGAACGGTTATAATTCATGAAGTGAGGGAGAAAGGTCTCGCCGAGATGACAATTCAGTCATAAAAAAAATTTTTATATGAGATCTGTAAAAAATGGATATGAAATGCGACTAATTCAAAAATTGAAAAAAATTGGGAAATACTCAAAGCGTCTGATAAATAATGATCCATCACGTGATCCTCTAGCTTCAATGGGGCTTCATAAATCTGTTGCAAAGAGACCGGAAGTCATTCCATAATGTACAACATCATTTCCGGAGTCTCCCTATTTTTTTGAAACGCGGAAGGCGCGGAATTGAACCGAAAAATTCAAACCGATATTCGCGTCCTCATAAAACCGAAATAAATAATAATTCAACAATAACAATAGTAACAGCAAAAATTCATCCTATATCCTCATCTCTATTTTCTAATTCAGTATTTAGCAATGGTTCAGAAAAATCCATAACCCGTTGAATATTTATTTTATAAAATTAGATTTTTTTTCAATTTAACATTTCATTAATTTTTTTAATGAGGATTCAGGTTAGTGAATAAAATATCAAACAATTTGAATAGATTCCACGGGTTCCGGTTCAATTCCGTCATTCCTTGTTCGAACTGAGGTTTTCATCCATTGTTGCCAGTTTACCACGAACAGCAACACAGCTCGCTTTTCACTGAGTTCACTGGAAATAATTTTGTGTATTATGATTGCAAAGTGCTCACTCTTTGTTAGTTCATAACGAGAAAGTCAACCGTCAAATATGACAATAATCAAGATTGTGTCACACTCTGCCTGTGTTGTGGCTCACCAACAATTTCCTCTGGTTAAATAACCAGAGATTAACAAAAAATCGAGAGAACACTTTAGGTCATTGACGGCTGTTGTGCGTGAGTTATTATTTTATGACAGAACTTATTTTTTTAATCAGCCCAAAAAAATACCTCAAGATTTTCGAAAAATCGTTATCTCTCTCAATTAAGAGATAACTCTTAATTATCTCAAAACACTTTCAATCTTGTATCAATGATTTTACTGCATACATCAGAGGAAAATTAAATTAAACATTCCACGAAAAAAGTGTTATGCAAATATCGAGGAATTTATTTCCCATTTGTGAGGAATTTTTTAAATAGAAAAGTGATACATTTGTTTTCAGAGAGCACAAACGGCCAATAAATCATAAATTTGGAGAAGCCAGAGGGAATTTATCCAGCAGAGGTGGCTCAACAGGCCTCTGCAATGAAGGGCACGAAGAGAGATTGGCTTTTTAGAGTGCAGGTATGGTAATCCCATTATCAATGTTATTGATCGACACAGAGAGGCCGAAACTGCACTTGCCCAAAACTGCGAATCCCAGAGAAATCCCTCCGTAAATTCATTAAATTCGCTCTAGAAAAACTCTGCATCCATTCCTATGAGTCATGATTTGTTCAAAGTGCTCACTCCCTCCCTCAAAATGCTATTTTTTATCAACAAATAGTTTATATCACCTATATTTATTTCTCAAATGATAATAAAAGTATATTGAAAAAATTGTTTGCAGGTGTCAGGCCTAAAAAAAAATGAATTTGTGTACGTAGTGGGTAATCTCTCAGAGCTGGGTGCGTGGAACCACAACCAGTCGATTCAGTTGCACCAGGAGACATCAGGCGACTCGCCAGGTCACTCCACAGCCTTCGAGAGCAATCAGATGGACGAATTATTCAATGAAGAAGGCAACAGCGCCTCAGACCTGAGATTGGAGGACGAGACAGAGGAGGGAAGAATTTTCTCGACAAAAGTCTCACTTCCAGCAGACGCTGAGATTCACTTCCGGTACTTCGTGGCAGTTGTCTGTCAGTCGAATGGCACTAAGAATTCCGCCAAGACTCTGATAATCCGAAGGTGGGAGACCCACATGCATCCCAGGAGCATCAAGAAAGAAATTCCCAGCAATTTTACTGATGAATCACTCCCTGAGCCTGAGAGATTTGGCTATCACAATGGATATTGCAAGATCGAGAGGGGATGGCTCACAGACGAGACTGTCATTCAGTTCAAACTATTCAATAATCCCATTAAACTGTGGAAGAATAGACTGCAGAACAAGAAGTTGTATATTAAAATGACACCTGTTAATCTAGTCAGGCACAGCTCTGTTGAGATGCCACAGTTCACTGGAGAGTGTGTTGAGGACAGTCTGTCAATGGATACACAGGATATCGTGGATCAACCTGCATTCAGTATTACGGAGATTAGTGTAATGAATGATGAAGAGGCAACCTTCAGGTATCAGCAGCAGTTTGGTCGGCCCTACGAAGAGGACGAGACAGTGATATTCAGTGTAGCAGTTCGATATCCAGACACCATCGCATATCTTGTTGACTACTACGTCTACACGTCGAGAGTCTTCCCTGGTGATTCACCACCTACTCACATTGGATTCAGCTACATTCTCCCCAGTACTCTGCAGGCTAGTGTGGGAATGCTGACAGTTCCTATCACCAGTACCAAGCACAGGCCAATTGGACAATTGACTGTGGAGTACGTGACAATTAAAGCAATTGCTGATTATCCATGGGACATGAGTATCTCTTACGCAAAACATTGGGAGCAGAGGTGGTCAGGATTGGACGTTGGGCACAGAGGATTGGGTACGTCATTCAAATGTGAAATGAAGAACTGTGCTAATGTCAGAGAGAATACAATAGCCTCATTGAAAACTGCTGCTGATCACGGGGCAGACATGGTGGAATTCGATGTGCAATTATCCAAGGACATGATACCAGTGATTTACCACGACTTCCATGTCTCCATCTCCTTGAAACGCAAGAAGCAAATCGACGCGATGGATATGCTTGAAATACCAGTGAAGGATCTCACGTTGGAGCAGCTGCATCTTTTAAAAGTGAGTGTGCAATTCAAATTTCTTACAAAAAATAATTACCAGCATGATAGAAAACGTCAGATAATCGGGAAAATATTTTGAGAGAATTCGAGTCAATTGTATCCTCAAACCAGAAAACGAGATTTCCCTCAGATCTTTTATCTACTGTAAATTTGACAGGATATTAGTTACCCTGAAGACTCGAGAGGTAAAGTGCTGCATTACTTTGATAACGATGAGCAAAGGGTTAAACTGGTGAGCTCATAGGTTTTCCAGTGGATCATTCATTCATTGAATGCATGAGTCCTCTCTGGATTAAAAATTTATCACAATTATTTGTCATCCATATGAAAAAAACATTCAGAGCCTACACCAAATTTTTGCTTCGCTTGTTCTTAAAATTGAGTGAATTTTGGGGAGATTACTAAATATTCCTGTAGAAATAGTCATCGATCACTGATTCATCACTGATTCATCATTGATTTTAAGATGATTGACAGCATGAGAAAATTGAGGGCATGAAAACCATTCACGAGTGTTTGCCCATTTTTTTCTGCATTTTTCGCTCTTCTAGAGAAAATTTAGGATGAGGCATGAGAAATCGGTGGAAAAGATCAATTGAAAAATTATTTTTAGGTTTATCATCTGGCAGAGGCGCGGGAGAAAAATCCCAGGTTCTTCGACGAGGATCTGGAGGATCATCAGCCATTTCCCACTCTTCAGGCTGTCCTCCAGGAGCTGGATATGCACGTTGGGTGCAATATTGAAATCAAGTGGACGATGCAGTTGAAGGTAATGAAAATTTTATGAAAATACCATGAATTAATACCTTCTGGACAATTGAATAAATCAATGAATTAATGTGGAATAAATAAATTGATGAATTAATCGATCAATAACCTAATGTTTCAGGATGGGACATTCGAGCTGAACCATCCATTCGACCTGAACACCTACCTGGACATAATCCTGAAGGTCACCCTGGACCACGGAGGGGATCGAAAGATCGTCTTCTCATCGTTCAATCCAGACATCTGTGCGATGATTCGCCTGAAGCAGAATAAATACCCAGTCGTCTTCCTCACCCAGGGCATCACCGTCAAATATCCAACGTACCACGATCCCCGTTGCCAGTCCATCCCCATGGCAATGCTCCACGCCCTCTCAGCTGATATCCTAGGAATAAACGTCCACACAGAGGACATCCTCCGAGATCCCTCCCACGTTCAAGTGGTGAGGGACAGGGGTCTCATAATATTCTGCTGGGGTGACGACAACAACGACAAAGCAACAATTCAGCATCTCAAAAAATTAGGCCTCCATGCTGTTATCTATGATAAAATCGATGAGTACAATCAGAAAGAGGTGAAGGAGTCAATTTTTCTTGTTGACGCCAGGGAGAATCAAAAGGCACTGATCGCCCTTGCCCAGTGTGTCGATAATCAGTCGATGCCACCTGATAATGGAGACAATGGAGTCACTCCCAGAATTCATAATGCCAAGGGGAATATTTCGTCGTCATCTCTTGCCAATTCTGATATTTTTCCAATGCCTGAGAGAATATCTGGGAATGAGTCCGATGAGGGTGAGATCAGAAGTTTAGCCAAGGATTTTAGTGAGTGTGCTAATTCGTTTGGCGATGGAGGAGCCATCGGCGAGGAAGAGGACGCCAATGATTGCCTTTGATGACGAGGGTTTAGAGGAATTGCTGCGTGCTTTTGCGGGGAGAAAGAGTGCTTTGACCACATACTAGAATTATTATTTTTTAACGATGGGAAATATTTGTGGATCTTGCAGTAAATCTTCAAGTCATGATTACTTTTTCCCCTCGGATTCAATTTTGAAATTGCCTCGTCTCACGCCACGTCTTTAAAAAATAATCGGAGATATTAATTAGAGATCGGATTTACTCGGAGTATTTTTGCCACGGTAATCTTAAGGTAAATCTCTCTTTTCTTTTTAAATTTTGATTGAACTGTCGAGGATAATTAATGCGAATAGGAGAATTATAGAAATGAGAGTTTAGTACAAAAATATTTCTCGTTCTCATATTGTTTTTATCAACTTGCGGTGGTTTCTTCATATTTTTTTTCCTCGATTTGTTTAGAGAATTGGATAATTATAGAAGGAAGTCTTGTCCGTGCAATGAATATATATTTTTTTAGACGAATCAGCAAACATTGGAATTTTATTATAAATTCCAATGCTCCTAGTGTTTGATGAGCAGAGCTCGATATTGACAGCTTCCTTGTAATAAATTATTCATACTAATTAGGGAATTATTCACGGTATTATTTTTCTCGATAACGATCGTCTGATGCTCTGTTTTAATTGATATATATTTTTTACTTCTATGGGATAATATTGCAGAAGACAATTCGGTGATTTTGGAAAATGAGATTTAATCCGGAGGATTTTCTGAATATCGGCGGGAGAATTTCTTCTAAGACCTTTTCGTTTTCGAGGTATTTACGAAATAATTGTTTTTTTTACAAATCTATTACTGCAATTGTTTCATGATAATCATGAGAAAATGACTGTATGTCTCCTTTGAGAGTGTGAAGAGGGAAAAAATCGATAATGAATGAGGTAGTGATGATAATAATCCACGAGATTCATTTTGTAATTTATTTCGAATGATTCGATAGCTCACCAGTTACTGGCTACAACATAATCGATTTTTTTTTTAATTAGAATTTATAGCTGTTGATGAATTATGGATTGATTTGAAAAAAAAAATAAATTCGTACTTTCGATTTGTAATGAACAACCTGTTTATTCTATCTTCAACGCTCCAAAATTTGTCCACAACATACAATTAATGATTGTAAACTCAACGTTAACAATTACTGTAATATAAAAAAATAATCATCTTTATGATGTTAATTAAATCATTGAATAATCCACAATGAATTCAGATGAATTTAATTAATGGATTAAATCATCATGAATTTTCGATTTTTCAATGATTATTAACTGAATTAGAAATGAAAATAATGGCATGAATGAATAATTTAATAAAAAAAAATACATAAAAAAATGAATTAACTTGTACGAATGTGAATAAATGTGTAATTTACAATTTTCTGCAGGAACGTTGACGTCGACGAAACCCTTCTGCACGGTGTCGAGGATCTTGGAAATTATTGCAAGGTTTTTCTATCAGTTCGTAACTCCATAGGCCACAGGTTTTGCAAAAGGGGATTCTCCAGAATGTCACTGGACAATCCCAAAATTTGTGGCCAAAGCCATGGCATTGAAAGCACCACCAGGGCTGATACTTCCTGGTGGGTAGAGATCGACGATATATTAAATCCTCTTGAGTCTTCTGATTTTCGATGCTGGGAGTGGGTGGAGGTGTTGGAAAAATTTCAACCACTTCTTCCCGATCTTCCGAGGCTTTCTCGAAAATCTGGAGAATCTCCTGCAGGAGTGCCTCTTCCTCTTCCTCTTCAGGGTACAAGGGGGTCATTTCAGTTTTCAATTGGTGCCATTTCAATTGGATTTATTCTGACCGGGAAATTGTCGAGAATTAATTGCAATTGAAAAATTTATTTGATTTTGAGAAAATAATTTCGCACTGAATTTTAAACACGTGGGAATAATTTCTATTCCCTGTTTTGAGCGTCTGTTTACATTTGTCGATCTTTCGGGGAAATTCGATTCTTAGAATTTCTCGATATAAAAGCGAGACATGTTTACTTTTGTTTTCCCACCGGCAATGAGTCACAAGAGAGTTTACTTTCAGTCTAATACAACTCGCTGTAGAGTGAAGAGACGTGAAAACAAATCGTTACTCTCCAGTTGAATTTTCGGAACATATCTCTGGATCTAATTGAGACATTGAAATTTTTTTAATAACCTTTTTTGGAGAGCCCAACAAGAGCTGCAAAAAAGGTCGTGACACTCTTTCGTTATCTTTCATAGATTCAGAGATGTTCCTCAAAAAATACTTACCAGATAAATCTTATTATTCCTCTTCTCTTCGCGGTTGAATTGTTATCACTAAATCCGTGGGAAAATTAAAAGTACGTCGTACCCCCGAGAAGTGTCGAAATATCGTGTCCTCTTCGTATTTCTTCGTGAGTTCCGATTGGTCGCGAGTGGTGCAGTGATTATTATTATTTTTGTTTCACTCCCTCCCCTCCTATTAATTACCGTAAACTTTTCCCGGAAGGATTATTCTAATCTGTGCAATAGTGAAATGTGAGAATGTGGAAAAATCGAAATTTTACATGGAATTTTCGGTGTCATCACAATAGCCACTGCATGAATCGGGAAATATCGAGGTAAATAATCGATATAATTGTTAAACTCATTCATTCAATCACTCCACTCTTACAATTGATAATTCAACAAATCAAGCGACATAAATCCATTATAAATCAATCTACTAGGTTCTAGCACTTGTTGCTCATCCTCCACCAAGCAAGATGATCCTGCGGCCTGCGAAAGACATCATTGATGAAAAATACAGGAACAATCATCGGTGCGACAGCAGGAGCTGGGGAATAGACTCGCGATTTATTCCGACGTCTGGAGATTTTTCGAGAGACCGGTCCCTGGGGTATTGGCAGAGGTTTTGGGCATGTGCAGCCCTCGGTTTTTCGAATGCCACATTTTTTGCACAATCTCTTTCTACCGCCTCTCCTCGATTTTCTCCTGCGTCGTGGTGCTCCTGATGTCAGAATATCCAAAAACCCTTCGACACCGGTCTTCGATGGTTTCTTAGGATTCACTGAATTCTCCGCCACAGATTTCTCCCGGAAATCATCATTTATATCCTCTGCGTACGTCTCCAGATCTTCCAGTATCTCCAGCACGTCCTCGTCCGGCGATTTTAAATCTCCCGCCGTCTCCATGACCTCCATTTTGGAAATCGACTGCAAGGAAATTAGTGAGTGAAGAAATTTGGATTTTTTGGGGATCTGGGAGAGAAATTAGGATAGCTTGTCTTTTTTTTATTTTTTGGGGGGGAATTGCACATTTTTGGAGAGTTTTGGTCTTTTTCGAGTAAAATCTTGCGGGAAATGTGGGTCGAGTTAGAATGTTTTGTTGAAACATTTTTTTTTGTATTTACCTCGGTTCATAGGCCTTCGGGTGCAGTCACATTTTTTCGTGGATTTTTCTGCGTTTTCAATGAGTTTTATTTTCGTTTCAGGTCAGCAAATGGGGCCTGTCAGGTTTTGCGATGTTTACATCCAAAGAGGATTGACTGAAGTAGAGGCTCAGTTCTGGGGGTTTGAGGGACCCCAGCAGGATCGTAGTACTGCACTCCAAGAGAGGGAGGGCGCCACACGCAATGCGGGGGTGTCCATCAAGTCGACGTGGTGAATTTTATTTTCTGCGGTATGAATACTTTTTGTTTTTCATTCGTTTAACTCAAATTTAGCCTACTGTAGAACGAGCGGAAGGGTGAAACCACATTTTGTGGAATTTCAAATGGAAAAAATTATTCAATATATTGAATATATACTCCTAATGAAATTATATTTTTAAATTAAGCACGTTGACTACTTGGTAACGTGCTTGACTGGCACGCGGACGGCCAGGGTTCGATTCCGCCATCATTCATTTTTTTTTTACAAAATAGTTCCAATTTTTTTTTTTTGTAAATCTCTAATGAATCGAAATATCGTTTAAAAACTAAATTTTTCCATTTCACTGGATACCTCCTCGATTTTTGAAAATCTCAAAAATCGACATCCGAAATCTCGAAATTCAAAATTTTCGAAATTTTCGAAATTTTCGAAAAAGTATCAGGGGAACATGACAATCGAGGAGGTATTCACTGAAATTGCAAAATTCGAAATTTTTGAAAACAATACTTTTTCAAAATATATACTCCTAATGAAATTAAATTTTTATAATGAGCGTTTCGTCTAATCGATAACGTGCCTGACTGGCACGCGAACGGCTCGGGTTCGATTCCCCCATCATTCATTTTTTTTTTTTTTACAAAATAGCTCCATTTTTTTTTTGTAAATCTCTAACCAATCGAAATATCGTTTAAAAACGGAATTTTTCAATTTTACTGGATACCTCCTCGATTTTTAAAAATCTTAAAAGTCGAAATTCGAAATTTTCGAAGAAGTATCAGGGGAAAAAAATAAATTAAAATTAAAAAATTCGAAACCGACCCTAGCCGTCCGCGTGCAAGCCAAGCACGCTGCCGATTATACAACGCACTCATTATATGAGTGTAGTTTCATTAGGAGTATATCTTCAATATATTCAATAATTTTTTCCATTTGAAATTCCACAAGATGTGGCTTCCCCCTTCCGCTCGTTCTACAGTCGGCTGAATATCAGTTGAACAAATATAAAATAAAAAGCATTCATGCCGCAGAAAACAAAATTCACACTGTCGACTTGATGGACACCCCAGCATTGCGTGTTGCACCCTCTCTCCCTTGGGGTGCAGTTCTACGATGCTGCTGGGGTTACTTAAACAACCAGAACTAAGCCTCTACTTTAGTCAATCCTCTTTGTTTACATCCACGACAAGAAGAGCCACTGCAACTATTTCCCTCTCCATTTTGAAGGACAGGAGGAACTGGAGGGGAGTAATCATTTTCAATTGACCGGTGAGTTTCTCTTATTTCATTCCTTAAATATCTGAGTGGAGGTCATTGTCTGATCAATTACTTTTCATATTGATAAGAATTTGAAACGAAATATCTCTTCAATGGACTTTGGGAGAAAATTAATTACAGTAAAAAGAATATTTTTATCTCACTTTTAATATTCCTCATAAAGCTTACATTTCGGTAATACGAATTGTTTACTTCAATTAAAATCCGTTACATCCTACCTCACTAACTCGATAATTTACAAAATTTATATACATTTCACTCCTCAAAACTAGTAATTACTCATGATGAAATAAGTAAAAGATGTCAGCAGACATGCCCTTCATCTCCACACCAATAAGGACTCTTAATAATAAATGTAAGATAAACAATTACTCCCTATAATTGTTAATAATTAATCTTACGTTGAATTATTAACTTCCAATTACACACTTTAGATTCAAAAAATATATTTTTCATCTTCAACTTCAATTCGCCGCAATGATTAATTCTCATCATTGAAAAATTCAGTGAAAGTTTTTTAAAAAAAAGTCAAATTATTTAAACTTGAAATAAATATTAATTTCATAAGAAAAATCGATTGATCACAAAAGAAAAATAAGAATTCACTCAGTTAAATTACCCAAAAAAATAATATATTCATCTTTCGATCAAATAAAAATAATTAACAAAAATTGAGAATTTCTCGACTATTTTTCATTTTTATTCGCGACAATTCTGGAGGGCAAATGGTGTTTCGTTAGTTTTCTGCATTATTTTCAATTCTAATTCGATATAAATTTTACATTACGACTTTATCATTTGTATGAAACGAATTATCACGAATCAATATTGAAGTGGTTGAAAAAATTCGAGTCAATGGAAACTCCTACAGGACTTCCAACAGCAAATAAATGACTGGAAAGTCTTCATGACTGATATTTATTTCCCCGTGAAAAAAAAAAAATGTGCCCAGTCGACCTATGATCGACAAAAACCCTCGATAATGTCAAAATCATTGGCCAATTGATTAGGAGAATCAAATTCCTCTTCTAGGTGCACTGGGTGCGAGTAATTGGAGTGCTGTCATGGCATCAGGGAACAACGAGTGATAGTTGACGAGTGGTACGTAAGCAGCTGTGATGACTCTTCCAGCGAACCAACGCCCATGGAGGGAATTCACTGCTGCAACAGCTGTAGCTATTGATGGACATTTGACATAGACATTACCCTGAGGCGATGCTTGGTCCACGTACACGTGCAATACCCCACCGTGTTTGTTGCACTCTTCAATGACATCGTCACGAATTTCCTTGGACCAAGTTGGATTTGTCTCACTACAAGCAGAAGGAATAGAACATTTGGTATGCATTTACAGCATTAATAACAATTTATTTAATTGTCACGTAATTATCAGAAATTAATTCAATGATGAATAATTTTATATGAGATAATTGACGTATCAATTTTGCATATTTGTACCCCCAGCAGAATGGGGCACTCGTTCCACCAGGTCTACTTGATATGCAGAGAAGAATCATTAATATTTTTACTCACTTTTGTGGATCGAACATATTGGATAGCATGAAACATTGAGTTGCTATTGGTGGTGCTGCCTGAGGCGGTGGCTGAGGTGTTGTTATCACAGGTGCCATATTAAGGGCATTAGCAGCAGCTGGTGGTATCTCCAGGCCAGTTCCCTCTGCCAGTTTAAACATCAACTGTAATCTAAAAGTAAGTTGATCATTTAAATGATTAATTCATTTCAAGAAAAAAATAATTAAGAATCATTAATGAATTCCAAATGAATTACCTTCCAGTGGCTCCAAGATCGATTCCACTTCTATCGAGTTCATCAGTATCAAGCAGCGATGGTCCCTGCATGAGATCAGTCCTCTCAGTGACATTTCCAACCTAAAAAGGGGTAAGTAAACCTAAATAAATAATGAATAAAATTCATACAACGAATGTCAATGAAAAAATGAACATTAAATTTTTATAATTATTCATCCAGTCATCTCCAACGTAGCAACCAATGCTGTCCCTTGACAATGATCCAACATACATAATCAGTTACCTTCATGGGTCGTCCAGCAAGTTCAAACCCATTCAACTGCTCCAGTGCCTTTTTGGCGTCATCAGCATTTCTGAATGTGAGAAATCCATACCCCTTGCTGCGTCCAGTCTCAGGATCCATGATAAGCTGAATGTTGTCAATCTTGCCGAAGGGCTCGAAGATACCTCTGAGCATGTCCTCAGTGATATTGAAGTGGAGAGAGCCAACGTACAGCCTCATGGGTCCAGTCTGGCCCTTGGGCATAAGATTTGGCATGGAATTGCCCATTCGGTTTTTCTCAGCTTGTGTATGCTGCACAACAATTGGTACACCCAGGAGTTTTTGTCCTGATAGGCCTAGGCCCAGTGTCACACTCTCTGGATCCTTGAACTCTACGTACGCTATACCCTTGAATCTTCTCGTCTTGTTGCAAGTGATCAATCTGACGTCCTGGACTTTTCCAACTGATGAGAAAAATTCCTCCAGATCTCGGGCTCGAATTCTCTGGGAGAGCTGCATGCAGAACACTGTCCTGGCGTCACGCTCCTCTGGGGTGAGTTCATCTGTTCGTCTGTAATTTATTTATTAATATTTATTTATTTTGAATTATAATGACAATAATTTTGAGGAAGTACTTACATTCCTAGGGGACTGACCCCTTTTCCAAAAGGAGGTCGTGCCCTGGGGAGAGTGATGGGTGTCAAGGATCTCTTCCTCCTACCCCTCTCTCTATCTCTGTCCTTCTCCTTCTCCTTCTCCCTCTCCCTATCCCTCTCTCTCGTTTTTTCTCGATCACCTCTCTCAGGATGCCTCTCCTTCTCCTTTCTGTCCCTAGACCTTGACCTCCTCTTCCTATCTCTCTCTCTATCCCTATCCCTATCACGATCACGATCACGCTCCCCCCTTTCCTTCTCCCTCTCTCTCTCCCTGTGCCCATCTCTCTCACGATCACGAGAACGACGCGATCGACGTTCTCTCGATCTCGAACGGCTCCGAGAACGATGTCTGCTCTTCCTAAAAATTCATTATCAAATCTCAATTTATAGAATACTCTTTTTACGTGGAGAGAAAAATTTTTAAACAATTCATTCAATCATTCAATAAATTTTTTTTCAGATAACATTTCTTTTGTTGAAAATAATGAAAAATAATGGAAAATTGTTTAATTACTTTTCTCTAAACGTATCCTCGTGGTCATCAAAACACTGACTCGGTCGATGAAAAATGGGTGAGAAATAATAATCTCGTTATAACCGAGTCCAGTCAATCATGAATAATCACCGATTTTTTTGATAACTGACTCGTTACCGAATTGTTTTTTTTTTAACGTCGGCTAATACTCACCATCACTTGGGTATTACCGTTTGGGAATTATCGAAATAAAGCGGCATTTACACTAACTGTACGGTGTCTATAACAAAGAGAATATTTTTTGAGAGTGACTGTCACGTCAATGCTTACCGTCTGTTACTTTTTTTTTATTTAATTTTCGTTTTGCTATTTTTTTATTCTTATGCTCTCGGGTTTTTCAATACGTGTGACAATGTGCCATGAACAGAAAATCAAGAAAATGTCAGGAATTGAGTGAATGATGGCTTTTTCATATAACTTTATCTTCAGATTTTTCGTTATAAATGGTTATCAATTATTTAGAGTTCAGAATTATCTGGGATTTTTTTTTTCACGTGCTTAAAATTTATTGGGGAGGGAGTGAGTGCCACATTCGACTCAATGCCAACAAGTGGTAAACAAAGTGTGATTAACTTATGATTAAACTCACCCAGATGCTCTCCTGCTGGACCCATTCTCCTTGGACTTATCTTTGGACGATTCCTGCTCCTACGAAACAGCAAACAGTTGAATGCCATGCCAGCCAGCCAAGATGGCAGGGAGTCGCGAACAAGGGGACAAAAAGCAAATAATATCAAGTTAGTTAAATTTTAATAATAACTAACAACTGATTTTTAATAATGTTGGATTAACAAAACTCCTCATGTCCTCCGGATATACCAATTCCCTCGAGCGCATCATCATCACGAGCTCACGAATAATCATTTTAATGGATAGGGTGATTTTTTTTTTTTTTTTCTCTAGACAATTTCGGCAATGAGAGGTGAATTTGCCGAGTCGCAAAACCCGTCTCAAACTTACCAAATCGCTTATCGGGTTTTAGGAAAGCAATCTTGGGTTGAGCATGCCTTGGTCTTAAACTACCAATGGCCAACCACACATCCTTTTTCTTCTGCAAAAGAGAGCCCTCGTCAAAGACAGTACGAATTTTGTTTTTTTAAAGGGTTTTGTTTTTTTTTTGTCAAGTTCCTAGTGTTCGGGATAATTACCCCAGTACTGAGATAATTGCGAGTAAATTCATTAGCTCTGAGAAAATCTATGTATTATTTTTTTAATAATTAAGATTTACCTGAGCCGAAATTTACTCGCAGTTCTCAATTTTTTTAATTTACACGCATTTCTTATTTTTGTCAGGCGTTTTTTTTTGGGGGGGGGGGGGGGCGTTGACAATAGGCATGGAGTAGGGGAAATTGAGACGATTTTTTTTTTGCTGCCGGTTCTCATGAGAAATTTTAGTTATCGTACTTTGGGAATTTTTCTTTCTAACGCGATAATTTGACGGTAATTAAAAATGAATTGGAATATTGAAATTTATAATTATCTGTTGATTTATTCAGGTATCTATGCTTTTTCGGGGATTGAGAAGTTAAATTGTGGTTCAATTCTATGATTTAGTGAATTATTTGAAAATGATGGAAAATTATATCAAATGAAATTGGAACAGAAAATTATAAAAATTATTAGAATTCAGGGTTTTTCAAATTTTTATCAATGATTGCAGTGCAATTTAATCAATTTAATTGGACAGATAAATAATATTTCAATGAAACATTTCCCTCGTTCTGAAAAAATTCCTAATGCTCCTCTGAAAAAACTTGCCCAGGGATGATTTTCACTCGCGATTTATAATCATCAATAACTCGAGATCAGTCGAAATTCGAAATTATATAATAATTATATTTCCAGGTCTCAAATGCCCGTGAACTCCACCAATTGAACAAGAGGTATTGACGACATTGAATCCCCGTTCCTTCGCAGCTGAATTGAAAAAAAAAATAGAAACAAAAAGAGAAAGTAAAACAAGAGTAAAAAAAATAAAATAAAGATGATGATAGTGATGGCAATGACTAAGTACCTCTTATCAAGTGCATTCAAGGAACTTGCTGTAGAGCATCGGTACGACCGAGAGGGTACAATGTACCATCTATAAGTACAGAAAATCATGGCATTGATAAATCAATTAAAACGAGTGTTTTTTTTTTTTCATTAAATTCTCTACTTCTCTCTGGACTAATTCCCACAAGTGACACCTGCCCAGTGGTAAATCAATGCCGCAGTCGATCTTACACGTCCCATCATTTCCTTCAGGTTTGTCTCACTTTTTTTCTTTTCCTTAATGAAAATGATTTTTTATTATTTGTTACTTACCCCTTTTTTGTATGGTGCTTCCAGCATTGCCTCCACGTCCAAGTCCTCCGCCATTGTGCGACTTGGTGATGTTTCTGAAATGCCACGCATTAGCACACGACAATTTCAATTATAATGGATTACTGGATTATTGGTGATTTTTTTTTTAATTTCGATCTTCTGGTACTGCACTTCGACTGTTTACTTCGGCTGCTCGTGACTGGGTGATGTTGGGGTTAAGGAGATGTTTTTGGTGGAGGTTTTTGGCGACAAGACGAGAACTCTGGGCTTGGACGAAAAACAAAATGGCCGATGGATCGTGAATCTTTCCGGATGTGACGTCGTGGGAAGTGGGGGAGACGTGGATGGTGCTGCCACCTCAACGGATTTTTTTGCAACTGGAAGTGCCAGCCGGCAAAGCAGATACTGTTTTACCATCGGTCGGCATAGTAGATCATTGCTGTTTTGTCATCCAATTGCAAAGTCGACATCTCTGTTTCCTTTGCGTGGGCGGCAAAACAGGGATTGTCATTTCGCCTGGAGTTTTAAAATTTTTTTCGAGAAGTCATAGTGATAATATCTACTCAATTCTTTTGGAGTAAAAGAAAAGCAAATGACTTGGTGAAATTTCTTGAAGAAAAATGAAAAGTTGAAATAACCGAAGAAATATATTCATATTTCAATTTCTCCTTTTCATTTTATTTATCTGTTTCAACTTTACCTACTTTTTCAAACATTATCAGTTTCTTCTCGAGGAAAATTTTTTGAGACGAATAAAGTCCAATAAATATAATTAGAAAAAAAAAGGCAGACCTGGAATTTTTATGAGGGAATATTAATTCCTTCAATAAATAATTATAATACATATGTAAAATTGAAAAAAATGTTTAAATGCATTTAAAAAAAAATAAAAATAAAAATTCTAGGTCTGCTTTTTTTTTACAATTATATTTATTGGACTTTATTCGTCTCAAAAAATTTTCCTCGAAAAGAAACTGATAATGTTTGAAAAATTAGGTAAAGTTGAGACAGATAAATAAAATGAAAAGGAGAAATGGAAATATGAATAAATTTCTTCGGTTATTTAAACTTTTCATTTTTCTTCAAGAAATTTCACCAAGTCATTTGCTTTTTTTTTACTCCAAAGGAATTGAGTGGATATTATCACTTTGACTTTTCGAAAAAAATTTTAAATAATTATAATACATATGTAAAATTGAAAAAAATGCAATTAAACATTTTTTTCAATTTTACATATGTATTATAATTATTTAATGAAGGAATTAATATTCCTTCATAAAAATTCCAGGTCTCCCTTTTTTTCTACACAGTTTTATTTTTATTAAAGGTAATTGAAAAAAATGTTTAATTGCATTTATTCAATTACCTTTAATAAAAATAAAACTGTGTTGTAAATAATTATAATAATTATAAATAAAACCAATGTATTTGCCATGTACTTTTATTATGCAACAATAAAATATAAATAAATAAATCAAATATGGTGTTATAAAGTTTATTTATTATTAAATCCCCTGTTATGCGTATAAAACATATAGTTATTTAGTTAATTTTGCTGGAATCCGGTTCTGGAACTCTGATTGGCTGGAGAAATTGAAATGGAGAATCGAACAAAATGGCGGCAAAAAGAAGTCATCACAGCAGAAAAAAAAATACCGATTTAGCAGAATGTACCGTGCCACCTACTCGGCTATCATGTGCTCCTGATACAAAATCCCGATTTTTCAAAAATTTTTCAGCATATAGCGGGAAATACCGTGCCACCTACTCGGCTATCATGTGCTCCTGATACAAATCCCCGATTTTTCAAAAATTTTTCAGCATATAGCGGGAAATACCGTGCCACCTACTCGGTTATCATGTGATCCTGATACAAAATCCCGATTTTTCAAAAAATTTTCAGCATATAGCGGGAAATACCGTGCCACCTACTCGGCTATCATGTGCTCCTGATACAAATCCCCGATTTTTCAAAAATTTTTCAGCATATAGCGGGAAATACCGTGCCACCTACTCGGTTATCATGTGATCCTGATACAAAATCCGACTTTCAAATGCTGATTTTGACGAAAATTTTGTCCGATTTTTCGCGATTTGTATCAGGAGCATATAACATGCGAAGAGGTGGCACGCCGGATACTTTTGAAAAATGTTTGCTACAAAAATTTCAACGAAAATTTAGATCTTTTTTCTGGAATTTCGATCAGTATCAAAGGACAGGACAAGAGCTATTGAATTCCAACCCCATTTTCTCCAGCGGCGATTGACGTATTTTCAGATGGACTCCAAAACGAGAGGAAAGACAACGAAACGAACCCCAAAATGAGCAACTCCATGATGTTCCATTCCTTCTCCTCCAGTATTATAGATGTTGCTGCTCCAGATGCTCCAGATGCCGTTGATGAAGAATTTCTCTTCTGTATCTTCTGTATCCGGGAAGAATTCCGAAATTGTTGGGGTGCTACCCCATTTTCTCCCCTATCTCCTTTCAAATCCATTAATCGTAAGAACCCCCTAGTGACGAGGGTGAAAATGCTGGAGGGAGTTTTCCATAAAAACGAGGGCAGAAGGTTCTGCACACGCAACCAACAATTTCCTATCGAGTTTTTCTTACGAATTTACTCTTATTTTCACGAGGGTTGAATGACCCAATGGGGTTGCTGAATCGAATGAAAAATAAACGGCTGGAGAATTTCTCCAGAGATGACGAAAAATTTTTCATCCAAACCAGCAACTCCCTATACCATTACAAACAAATAATTATTTATAATGAAATAGGGATTCCCCGATTTAAATAATTTATCTGAAAAAAATCCATGAAATTTATAAAGATTCAAATAAAGGATTAACGAAGAAATTTTGAAACTACAACTTAACTGAACCTGTCAAATATTGAGAAGAATAGAAAATCCCGCTAGGTTTCTGCCCTGCAGGTGGAAAATCCGATTTTCCTAATGTGGGATGTTTGTTTGGGGATCAATGACCCCAGGAGGATTGGAGTTGAAATCAGTGAAGCGTAAAAAATTGTCCAAAATTTCAACCTCGACCCTCTTTTTATTTTTCTCCCCCTGACATAAAGGGAAAGTCCGAGGATTTGGGACTTCCCTCGGTTCATCGCCCCCGCATTCAAGTTCTCTTCAGGTCAATAAAGAGAGAAGAGGAGTGGTCAAAAGAACCTGTACTGATACAAATAAACCACTGGTTATAGTGGCCACTCGCCCTTTTCTATTAATAGAAATGAATTTGAGAGACAGGTTGCAGGGCCCTTGGAATTTCTAGTTATGACACTGAGGTCATTGACCTTTAAAAAAAAAAATTCAAAATAAATTCAAAAGCCATTTATTATTTATTCTCCTAAAAATCCTAATTGAATAAACAAATTATTTAATGGAATAATTAATCCACGAATTCGTGAATTAAAATGAAAAATACAACCATATCTTTTAATTAAAAATTTTATTTTCACTTGAATCTTCTCCTCTGTCGAGGTGCATGTATTTTTTTTTTAATGTATTTTTCATTCACAAAATGAAATAATTACCACAATAAATCAATTATATCGTAAGTCATGTAATCCAACAGACAACCTCTTAAACCTAGATATATGAATTTCATTTCTCCGTTTTTATGTACAAAAGAGCTAATGAGATGTGAAAAGACAGTGAAAAACTTAAAACAACGTAACAACACACGACCATGATATTACAGAATGATATCAAATAAAAAAGCCCTTCAAGTACGGATTAATTACGCAATTACGATGAATTAATCGAATGCAGTAAACGAAATAAAGGGAAGAAAATTTTGAATAATTTCATGTGAAAATTTTCTGTCGATTTTCGGGCAATTACTTTGAATATGACGATGCAATGTTAATTCATAAATAATATAATTAATATATACAATACATACACTCACAACAAGAGTCATTCGCCAGAAATTTTTCCAATTTTCCTCACATTTTTTCTCGTAATTACTTAATTTAAGATATATGCTGTAATGGCAGGCGTTTCCGTATTTTTCTTTAATTCGATCAGACTGGCACTGGGATTTATTTAATTTTATCAATACGATAAGCGATTGGACGAGACACTGATAAATCCAAAAATAGATCGACTGACAATCGGTTAGAAATCGTCGATTATTTCGAGAAGTAAGGGAGCTAGAGAAAAATGGAATAAGACTTTTTTGTAGGTAATAGTTAAAGCTACAAAAAATTCCTTTGCCATTTTTCTCTAAATCCAGTTGTTTCCGAGATATGGCGGATTAGAGTCGCCTTTTCGATTTTACTCTCGCCCCTTCGTTATCAATTATCAATTAATTACCAAGTATATTAATTATGCCTTGAGATATATTTCAGAATAATCGAACACCCCACGCAAACATTTTCGATACCTACACCCAACGAAAATTGATCCATCAATTTATTATTAATAAAGACAGGGTGTGCCCTTCAACCACGGCTTCAGCCTCCTATTTCAACTACAATATAATTTATTTCAATCGCACACACTCTATGCCAGTCTTTGTACGCATACTTGAGAATGTAACGAGCGAATGATTACACGGAGAGAAATATTCAGTAATAATTACCGCCATTTTATACCCGGGAAAAAAAATTGTAATCGGAATATTTTTTTCCAAATTATCCAAAAATTTCGGGAAAACCTTTCAGAAATTTTTTTTTATGAAACAAGAAAAAATGGAAAACAAAACAATTTTATTTTTGCGAAAAGTTTTGAAAAATTTTTCCGAAACAAATTTTTGAAAAATTTTTCCGAAAAAAAATGTTGAAAAATTTTTCCGAAAAAAAATGTTGAAAAATTTTCCCGAAAAAAAATAAAAAAAAATTTTTTCGAAAAAAAATTTCCCAAAAATAAAATTTTGTTTGCTAATTTTTTTTTGTTTCAAAAGAAAAATTCTCCGAAAAGTTTTCCAGAAATGTCTTGAAAATTTGGAAAAAAAATATTCCGATTTCATTTTTTTTTAACCCGGGTAGCCATTATAGAATTTTTATTGAATTTTTCTCTCAGTCGGATTATGTTCATCATAAACATTTAATTCATTTCGTTAATTGCCAGCCGGACAATAAGCACGAGGTAATATTGTAATGAGCCTAAAGGTTTAAGGCAACACTGGTGCATGAAATGGCGATTTCAATGCATGGGATTATGAAATGGCGACTGGTGCTTTCAATGGCCGGCGCTGGCGCTATTTTTGGCTCTTCTAGGTTAGAAAATCGAAAAATTCGTTGATAAAATGATTACCAATTAATCCCCTCATAATTCACGCTCAAACTCCCAAAAATCATCAAATGATTAAAATTACACTTTAAAAATCTCCACTAAAACAGTACTCAATAATTTGTAATTAATTTTTTTGATAAATAAATAGTACAATATTGATTTCCTTACGCATAGAGTGAAAATACTGCAGATGAAAACAAAAGATAAATTTCTAAAATGAATAAAATCGTCTCAACCTCAAATATCTCCCCGAATATTTCAATTTTCAAACCTCGAGAGCCAAATCTAATAATCATCTATAATATGTATCTATGGTGCCCCATGTAGGGGCTGTCCTGAGAATTTTTGGAAAACCTCGTTTCATATACTATACAGATAAGAAAAAAAATGACAGCGCAACTGATCAAATGAAAACTTCAATTTCAATGAGTGAATCTAAGATTTTGAAACAGTTCAGGCACTGATCGGCGTGATGTTTCTCAAGAAATGATTTAAAAAAAAAAACTTTATCTCTTTGAAATCTCGTGTGAAAAATGATTGTTAATGATTTCGGATGGTTGTACACGTAAATATCAGTCTGATGAGTCTGCAATTGCCAGACAACCTTGAGACATTGAAAAATCCATTTAATCATAATGGAAATAAAGTGAATAACTAATAGATCGATGTAGAATTTGTTTCATTTTTTTTTTAATAATAATTATACGCTTGTACTGGCAGTGGGCTCAGCTACCCTCAATACTCTGGTAGTACGGAGTTCTTATCACAGAGATATCAATTGTTTGGTGCTTTTTAATCTAGCCACGAAATTTTTACCGATTAACAAATAAAAAAAAGAAGAAAAAAAAAATATTAAAAAATAATAATAAACAATTAGAAGAATGATAAATGTCTGACATTCGTCATTTTCTCATAAATAATAAATTCTCTCGGGCAATTTGTCCCGTGTGGATTTTCTAATTATTTTTTTTCTTGTCTCGTACTCGCGAATTTGGACGACTTGAGATAACCGAATAATAAAATTGAATTGATAAAAATAATAATGAGATTAAGGGACAATTACACACGTACACGAAACGACACGACTCAAACGCATGTCCCAATACCGGGACATTTAATAAATAACTCTCAAAAAATTCACCATCTACGTGCAGACTACGCTTTCTATTTCTATTCACTGAATATTCGGCACGTATTAATATTTTTACAATAATACCTGTGCAGGATCAATTGTCCCTAAACAATTGACAATTGAATCTCTCCTCAAGTTTGAAAACCCCTAATAAATCTCGTTTTTTGGTAAAAACTACACTTTCCATATATACGATCAGATAACCTAACCTGCCCCTAACTACGTATATTCCTTCAAAAAGTGTTTACCCAGCCGTTTTTTCCAAATTTTTATTGAATACTAAGAAATAAATCTTGTGATTCCAAATGAGAAAATTCCGTGAATAATTATTTTCCCTGGAGAAAATTTGGTGAAAATCGGCTGAGTACGATCTACCAAAATTCGTGATATATTCAAAGACTCACCCTGCACAGGTTATCGCCGCCCTTCACCACGAACTAAGACGCCCGAGCAAATTGAATGACCGAGCTGTGTCTCTGCGCGGTGCTTTCGAACCTCTCAATCTCCATGCTCTCGAGAATCATCTTGGAGCGCTTCCTGGGTGGTAGAATGAGTGTCTCCCTGGTTGGTACAGCGAGATCCAGAGGATCAGGCGATGGAGCTGGTGACACAGGATTGGAGCTAGGTGGTGTGAGAATCTGCTGCTTCATCATAACTCCACCGTACTCCCTGCCCTCAACCTCGACCGCCTCCAAAGCAGCCTCGACCCTCCTCCTGGCATCATTACCCGGTAAATTCATGAGAGTGGCCTGAGTCTCCTCACCAGGAAGAGCATAACCCTCATATCCCTGATACATGTAGACCGTTCCAGGCTGCGGCTCCTGGATACTGAATATCTTATCTTCAGCAGCAGCAGCAGCCGCTGCAGCGGCCAATAGTGCAGGATTGACCCCTTGGCTCTGGGGGTACATCTGCTCTCTGGAGTAGAGGTAATACGGGAACTCGCGTCCTTCGTAAGCCTCTCTAACTTCCCTAGCTTCCCTAGCTTCCCTGGCTTCCCTGGTCTCTCTATCTTCTCTAGCTTCCATTTCGTCCACCACTTCCTCAGTCTTGCTGTTCTCTTTGTCACTACCACTCAAACCACTCCCCTCAGAGCTACTCGAGTGATCCGAATGATTAGAACTGATACCAATTCCATTGATACTCTGCGATATCTCGATAACCGGTTCAATAGGTGAGTCCCGTGATGTAGTTGAGTCGGCGTGCGTCTTGATGTGCGCCTCCATCGTTTTCTTCGAATTGAATGTCTGACAGCACAGCGTGCACTTGTACACCTTTTGACCGTAATGGGCAACCTGGTGTAGCTTGAGAACGTGATTGTATCCAAATGATTTGTGACAAATGTCACAGGTGTAGGGCTTTTCACCGGTGTGAGTTCGTGTGTGAACTTTGAGCTGCTTTGAGCAGGTGAAACCCTTGCCGCAAGCTTTACATACGTACGGCTTTTCACCGGTGTGTGTACGCATGTGAATGACAAGCTGTCCTGATTGTATGAATGTCTTGGAACATACTGAGCACTTGTGGGGACGCTCACCCGTGTGTATTCTCATGTGCCTGTGGAGTTTACCCGAGTGCTCAAAAGCACGACTGCATACGTCGCACTTGTACGGCCGTTCTTTCGTGTGAATCCTCCGGTGAACGCTCAAGTTCTCCTTCACGGAGAAGGACTTGCTGCAGTATTCACACTGGTATGGCTTCTCACCGGTGTGAGTACGGTAATGACGGGTCAAACGCGCTGGTACAGCGAATGTCTTTGAACAGATATCACAACGGTATGGGTCCTCGCCGTCCTTACCGTGTGACCTCAAGTGGCTCTGGTAGAGGTTCTTCTGGTCGAATGTCTTTTGGCACAGGAGGCATTGGTATGGCTTCTCCGGGGTCGGCTGTGTTGGAGTCAGTCGGGTCAGGCTTGGTGACGGAAAGATTGTTAGGTCTGGCGAACACACTAGCGATTTAACTGGTTTCAGTGTCTCCTTTGGCACCACGTCTGGCATAACGTGCGGATGGTGCGGCGCTAGCGACTCCTGGGGGTAGTAGCCAACCATCTTCGCAGATCGGAAACAGAAGATGATCATTGTTAGAGATCTCGGAACGGTGGAGTCATATTTTTAAATGGAATGAACAAATTATTGTACGTGTGCGTGCAAAAATTGGCGTTACGCACTCGTTACAGAATTTTATTTTTAGATAAAATTGATAATAATCGAGATGATTAGTTATGATCGTATTAATTTATTCTAACGGGACAGCGTGAGTCAGTTGTCAACAATTTACGGAATTTTTAATGAAAAGGGAATTGAACTTTATCTTCATAACGTGACGCTTCGAGATGAAAGAAACGTACGTGCGGAAATTTCTGTTTACAATCTTCATGGCAGAGAATTTTCCGAGTGATGTCAAGAGTCCGAGGATTTTGCAATTAACAACGGATTAAATTATAGGCTGCATTATTATCTCCACCCCCTTCCCCTCTGATCAATTAAAAATAATTACTACCCCCTCCCAAAATCCCGAGTGAATCTGTAGATAAGCGAGATGACCGTTTTGTGTCGTAAAGAATTTTTTGTTGGCAAAAAAAAAAAACAAAAAAGAAATATATATCTGTTGATATGACGTTGGCGACTTCAGCGCGTACGAGTTGAGCGAGTCGTAACTTTATTAACGTACGGGGAATAAAAGGGGTTGGTCTTGGAGGGGAAAGGAGGATAATGGTGGATAAAGGGAGGGTGGGTGAGGTGGCGGGTGTACTGAGAGGGGGGAAAATAGGACTTACACGCGCGGCATTCGTCGGAGGCGGTTAATCCGGGTTGGCGGTGAATGTTGTACGGAAAAAACGCAAAGTGTCGCGCCTCCGGTATCACCGAAAACCCCGAGCCACCGCCTCCACGTGTATTCGCCACATTTTTTTATAGCGATCACCGACCTCGTGCAACTCGCCCCGCGGTAAGGACGTCGAGTTACATCACGAGTAGTACAAGAGGTACTAGTGTGTAATAGAGATTCATTGAAGGTGTTTATGAATGTGGAATTTTTTTTTTTTTGCCTCTCATTTTTTTTTTGCCTCTCTTGAATTTTGAAAATAGGCTCTGGTGAAGGGGATTTGGTGCGGTGCGCGCCTGCCCCGAAAATATTATCGATCGGTGGGCGAAAATGCTGTTTAGCGAGGGGTCCTAATGCCGAGGGGAATTTTCGTACTGCGCGGATGCTCAATGCGCATTTTATTGGGAGTTTATTTTTTGGGGGAGCATTTTATCCTTTTTTTTTTATTATTCGTCATTTGTTCGTCATTATTGCAATTGTTTTTTGGGTGCATGTGTGACATGCGAATATTGGCATGTGGATTTTTTTTTTTTTTTCAAATTTGAATTGAATTTTTGGTTAGGAATTTGAGTGATTTTTGGAATTCGCAATTTTCTGTCATCCGATATATCAATTTGTTAAACATTTTTCTTGACCATTTACATGAATGAATTTTCAAATTATTCTCGTCAGTAATTTTTTCATTAAAAAATGTTTAACGAAAAATTGGCAATCTTTCGCAGAATCCAATATGCCATTATTCTCAGTGAATATTCACTATAATATTAATAAAACATTATATCAAAGCTGATGAAAGCTGAATTTAAATTAAAAAAATATGCCAATTTAAATAAATAATGTTTTTTATGAATTTACCTCCAAAAATTGACTGAGCAGTTGATGTTTACGTTTCGCGATCCGGTCGCATTGGCTTCAAATTACCCGAACCTCACTCAACAATGACTATTCAAAACTAAAAATACGTCAAATATCCGCGAATCGGGTGAAATAGTTCTTTATCAAAATACCACTTATATTATTTGTCCGGGATAAATCCAATCAACAACTTCTCACAAGACCAAATACATCAGTTCACTTTCTCAGACCGATGTTGTCTCATTGCGTTCACAAAAATCACTGAGAGAGCCCGTGGGATCGAAAACAAGGAAAACCAAAGGACCCGCCTCTGGATGACCAATCCAACACTGTGCAATGTTTACCTCCTACTCGTACCGTCCGATTGCGCCCGAGACCCGACGAAGTCACTCGTTCCGCCCCTCGCCCCTCCCACCCCTTCACCCCACCACCATTGCTCTTCACCTTGCGACTGGTTCCCCCACCACTTCCCCCAGCACTTATACAAAACGAATGCGCAAGCATCAACGAAAAAATTTAGACACCTATCGGGGAATTCCCCTCACTAATTTGCCCGCCAAATTCAAACGCAATTTCGTGAAATAATGATTTTACGAGGATTTCAGTAATTGAAAATCGATGGCGATCGATTGAAATGATTTTTTTGGACAGGGGATGAGGCAATAATTTGACTCTGGGAAAATTCGGTCAATACTTTCGCCGTGGCACACCGCAGAGTCTCCACGCAACGGCGACGACGACCTACAATTTAGGGCGACCGAGACCCCGGCTATCTCCAGCACGTGGAGGCAGCCGCAATGGTTTCTCCTCGGGAACGCGCGTGCGAATTAAACAGAGACGGATGCATCAGCGGTTGTGCATGGATTTTGCACGGGTGATAGTATATCAAGTGAACGTACAGCTATTCCTTTATTTATTAGATTGGAAAATTGCTGGAAAATTTTTGGCCGCGAGAGGGGGAGTTAGTGGGAGTGATTCTTTCATTTTGTCGGAGTTTATTCAAGTCCTCGTACGTTTATTAATGAAGAATGATTTATTTTTACGCGAGTGATTTGTCTTCCGCGAATCGATACCGCTCAATTTTCCTGAACTATTACTCGCCGATAAATACCGATTTCGAATTTTTCCTTGAAGTTAATTTCAATTCGCAAAATGCAAAATTAAAAGTGCTACTCGCTTCAATTATTTTTAATTTATTCAGCCGATTTCTACCGATCTCTATCAATTTATTCTATTATTTCTCGAATTTTGGATTAATTGTGCTATAGAGTAGCATAATCTCTGCTAAGTCGAAAGAAAAAGCCATTTTAAGCCCCATTACCCGTGAAATAAACGAATGAAGAAGATTCCAAAGAAATAAATGCAGAGTATGGCATGACCTGCGGTGCCTTTGACGCGTGCAATTCACCGACACGAGAAAAAACACCAACACTAAAGCTAAACCCACAATATCGTTCAACTTATCCCGCATTTTTATTACCTCCACAAACAGGGAATTCAGACTGATATTGACTGCGTCATTGATAGGGGTGACATGCGTGTGGTATGACACGCGCACTCACACATACGTCATGTGTTTCGCTTTCACCTCGACTCTTTCACGCAGATCGACACGCGCGGTAAAACGCCCCTTCTTTTTTTTTTTTTTAAATTCAATATTTTGCCCTGCCCACACGTTTTGCAAATATTTTCATGTGTCACTGGTGCCGGAGGCATTTAAAGTGATAATTGAAAAGATAAATTCACGATTGACTAGCAAAAAAAAATTACTCAACTCCATCTTCGATTGGTAATTGGATGTGTGACCATTGATTAATTGATCAAGTGTTTAAGTCTTTAATTATTTCTCAACCCATTCGCCTCTCGCTTTCAATTCTCTTGTTTACGAGCTCCAGAGTAATCTAGGACAAATTTCACGAGTCTAGAGTATCTCAAGGCCACAGTAGGTGTAAGTGTTTTTTCTCGTTTTTTTTTTTACAGCCGGTGGCTGATGAAATTACCGACCCTCAGGGACACGTATCTCCACGAGAGTTACAACGACAATAAGAATGTATAATAGAGTATACGTGACATAACAAGTCTAAACACATGTGAAAAGCAGGTGAAAATCGAGTGAATAAAAAATTCCGAGAATATGTCGCGTTACGAAAAATCGAACGGAAGTTGCGCAGCAGTGGATTGCGCTCGGGGATTCCCCGTTGCGCAGTTGCGCGCGCATTTACTGCGATTTTTTATTGACAATCTCTCTATTGGCGGGTATTAGATCAGAAAAAATAATTGCTCATCATCAAAGACTTTTGGACAATTCAAAGAAGACTTACGTATTTTTTCGTGAAAAAATGCGCAGTCCATTTTCTCTTATCGAATTGTTGACGGACGAATGAATCTCAAGAGACACGTGTCACCCCTCGAAAGGTGGAGGGATAGTTGTAAAAAAAAATAGGAAGGGATCCCCATAGAAACCCCTGCTCTCGTAAACGCCTCACAACTCTTATGAATCAGAATGAATGATTGATGAGCTGTAGCTCTAGCTTATTTTTCGGGTGAATATTTTCTCAAACGTGTGTTTACACAGTATGTAATTGGTGCTAATTCAAGGCTGCTACTGATTTAGTTCTCTCACCAGCTACCGTTTTAATTCGGAATGCGAGCGATTTTTGATGATTAAATAACAAATGATTGAAATTCGTCTCTACCCCATATGATATAAAATTTTCTATTTCCCAGGACGAAATTGGCGGAATTTCAATTTGAATATTTAAAAAACTAGAGATACCCGAGAAGAATAGAAATAAATAATTAAATGGCCGTGGAATGATGGCTCCGAAAAACCCTGCACTGCCGGAATTGAAAAGGTAGAAAGGCAGTCGAGAAGGAGCACAAGCCCGAAAATAAAATTCACAGAGCGTGCAATTCGTTGCGGGCGTTTTAAAAAAAAAATAAATAAAGTAAAAAAAGAGAGAGAGAGGGAGGGAGAAAAAAGACCATCGACAAGTGTCGGGGTAACGATATCATACTTGAGCAGTACCTCAGTGCAATGACCCACTCGTGTGGTTGGCGGTGTGCAGCACGTGTAAATGTTGAAAACCAAATCGACTGCCTCTGCTACGTCGTCGACGACAGGAGCGTGGATCTCTGCCAAAAGCTGAATTTTTCTCTCTGTCACGACCGAGTGAAAAAAATGATACCCGGAGTCATTACACCCGCTTTACTGCCTGCGCACTGAAAACAAAAAATATTATTCAATTTAGACTTGATTAATTGGGTTAAATCAATCATTAGAGAATTCGCCCTCCGAAAAGTGCGACTTTCCGTACGAGTGCGGAAAAGTAACTTTTTACGTCATGGGAGTTCAACACGAACTGATGGCGAACGATAATCCCACGGGTGAAAAAAGTACTTTTTCGCACATGTATCGGTATTTCATTGCAGGACGTTAAAAAATCGAGAAAGCACCTGGCGTGCGTTATCCCCGATTTTGCGCACTGAGTGCAGTTATTTTTTATTCCGAATGGAAGCATTGTAATCGATCTACTTTGAAACCTCGTAAATTCGAGGATTTTAATATCGACGGTGTTATTTCTTTCTCATAGCAGAGTGAGATGGAAGTCCAGTGGATTGAGGTGGGGATAGTCAATAGAGTGGGGAGAGGAAAGAAGAGATATTGCGTAGTGGGGAAAAACGGTCTAGAGCCGGCTTGTCGTACCTTGACCAATCTCAACTCGACTTGTTTTAAGCTATGCCGCAACGACCTTAGAAGCTATACTGAAACCGAAATGCCGTGAATAGGCAAATACAGCTCAGGGTCATTTTTTGGATGACATAATCAAGGTTAATAAAATATTTCAAACCTTAACTTGTGTTTATCAGGATTACTCAACCCATACGAACCCTTCACTCACATAAAATTAAAAAAAATTTAAATACCCGATTTTAACGATAATTCAGTTATCGAAAATTCTCATTTCCCGCAAATTAAAAAATTCTCATTTCCCGCAAATTAAAAAATTTTCAACTGAAATAAAAAAAACTGGTCAATAGTCAAAGGGGACTTGAATTTATTCAGTTCTTCACTGATTCCTCATCGAAAATATATTCCAGTTTATCAGTCAAGTCTGAAAAACAAGTAAAGGCTGATAGAGTGGGTAGAGCCCATCGGGTTCCCCCATGAGAATAAAAAAAAAAAAAAAAAGAACGAAAGGACTCGCACGCGCCGAATTCGGAGTATCTATCTCTCTCTACTCTCCACGTGTAGCCGAAATAAAAATCGATGGTGGGGCTCATTCGTTTTGGAGCACAAGTTGGCGGGCTTTTTTTTTTTTTGCGATATCAATTGGAGACGAAAACATGAAGGAGTGGAGGGAAGCTGAACAGAGCAAACAGCGATATCGATGATTGTGCAATATTTTTTTTTTTTTTCAATTAAGATTTGCTTCTTTATCTTATCAAGGACTGGAAGTCAATTGGAGGATTGTATCGACCGAATAAAGTATTCACTTCCGAATTGAAATAAATATTTACAAATAAATATTGGAGTGCAAGTTAATTTCGGTTGTCGACCTCTTTTTTATCATAAATCATTTCTGCAGTTGCTATGAGACGCCTTTTTTGACAGTTCTAATTTTAGAGATGAAAGATTAATTAAAACTCGAGTGACTATATTTTTAAAATATCGTTTTTAAAAATAAAATTAATGATAATAATATCCACACGTGCAATCTAATATTTTGAGCCCCCGGAAAAACCGTTGGGGCATTTCCCCCTGAATGATTGACAGTAGAAAAAAATAAAATTTTATCTGTCGAATCATCATCTCTCTTCATATTTACGTGACCCGTATTCGAAATGATTACGTAACAAAGTAGATGACTCGAGGAGAAAGCAGATGCATTAGGTCTACGTCCTTGAACGAAGCGAGCACAAAATCGCTCCTCACGGTGCAGCCTATCACTCTTTCTTATTATTTTTTATTGCTTACACGAGCTGACTTTCTGGGGCATTACCACACGTGCTGCTCGGTCAATGAACCCCACCCCTCGCTGTCACTGTTGACAACCGTCTTCACCGCTCATACCTTATCCAACTCTTTTATCAAATCTATTTACACGAAAAGCTGCAGTCGTCGCTTTAATCAGCCAATTTACGCCTTTTTTTTCGAATAATTTTGAACATTTTATTGCTGTCATTATTACCCTTGTTGACAGCCATCTTATTTTTATTTTACTGTCACCACTGACACCCACTCGTACCTCATCCATATCGCGACTATTTATTTTCCTAAAAAACTACAGCCATTCCCTCAATCAATTCAGATATATAATATAATTGCTTATATTATATTACTGTAATTGTCAATTGATTTTTTCAAGAAATTAAACCCATCACTCTTTATCCTGTCATTGATGTCTCCTGATATTCCGCAGTGAAATAAATCTACAACGATATCTCGAGCTAATTATTATTTTTTCATTAATGCAATTATCTATGGAAGAATTTCAAATTGATTTCCCGCAAATGACGCATGTTCTTTGAGTCTGTTTACTCGATATAAATTCGATGATGCTGATCACGTCGACTTTGTTTACCCCATTTGGGTTTTGCGTCGAATTTTTGGACAAGGAACGATCGGATGGGCTTCGTCGAGGGGTAGAATTCATTCGAGGGGGAGCTTACGACCCAAACACGAGGGAAAGAATTTATTTAGTGCGTAGTTTCACGCAAACTACGCAGTTCTATTTACTTTCATTCTCAAGAGGTACTTCCACTTGGAGATAAATCGTTAAAATTTTTTAAAACTCAATTTTCTACACTCGATTCCACGATAACAATCTAAATCAATCACAGATATTCTCAGAACTCCTCAATCCATTAATTCACTGGTAATCAACAATCAGTGATAACTAATTGAATAATAATGAAATAATAATTCAATAGAATTATTCTTTCAAATCTGATTATTCAATAATTCTTATCCTACATCGAATTTAATTAACCTCATTTATCAAGTGCATAAATTTTATTGAATTTTAATAATTGAATTGTTTTCCTAAATATTTATTTACGGTAAAAAAGTTGATTGAATATTTGGTTTCGAGTGTAGCTATTTTTTAGACTCCCCTGAAGACGTGATTTTGACTTTATGTAACTTAAAATCGGTGAAAGTAAAAATATACTGGCAAAGGGGCCGATGTCCGAGGAAAGGGCCATTAAGGGACAATGACCCTTTAAAATGCCTTTTCAAGGTGCACAGACCGGATATGACCCACTTAGCCTATTCCTTAGTCATGAATTTTTCGATGATGATGCAAGTAATTTTACTCTTACCTTTTATTATCAGCCATGATATTTTTTTGACGTTGCGTAAGGCCCATTTGTCCATCCATCCCATCAAATCGGTCATCGAACTCAGTAAATCGATTTAAAGATGAATCCATCACTGGTCATCACTCCATTAGTTCACAATTACCATTTTTTCATGTCTCAACTGGTCTGGATCGAGATTATCCAATCGATGATTACTTGATCGGCATCTCTCACTCCATTTCGACTCGAATGGACGCCCTCCATTGTTCCTTCTCATCCTCGATTTGTCAATTCTTGTCTTCTTTGTTATCACGATATTTTTTTTATTGTTATTTGATTTAAGGATACGATTTCTTTTGTTTAACACAATATTTTATTTGGTGGTTGACGAACTGATGATTCTGTTCTTTGTATTGGATTAAAATATTCTGAGATCAAGTCTCGACAGGAATCAATTTCCTTACAATGTTTTGTACTTTTATCCTCGTGAATATCTGTTTACACTCGTGAATTCAGAGATTACGCATCGTCTCCGGTGTTTTTGTTTTCTAACGGAAATCTTCGAGATCTCGATGGACTCCTAGCGACACCCGGTGGCGATAAAAACAACTAATTATCGACCCAGTCGATAATTTCGATACAAACGACATAGCACCGCCATTTTTTATTTATCGAACTCCAAAAAATCATAACCTGGATAAATTTTGGGCCGGTGACATCCTCGGATTGCTGAGCATCTTTTTATCATTGCACAGTGATAAAAATTTATTGACGAAAGTGAAATCCAGAAACACTCGTCAAAATGGTGAGTAATTCGATTTATTAATCATTTTCCAATTTTTCCATGAATTCGAATTATTGAAGAGTGGAATGCGCGTCTTAAACATAACCTTGACGTCAACGTTTTAAAATGCATTTGATAAATTAATAAATTAATAACAGAATGGAATCCGAAAAAATTATTAGAATAGTAATAATGAGAATAATATGGAATAATGGTTAATTGCAGACGATTGGAAAAAATAATAAGATGCTCCAGCATATAAATTACCGAGTGAGGATAATCCTGCAGGATAGCAGGACCTTCATTGGTACATTCAAGGCCTTCGACAAGCACATGAACTTGATCCTGGGTGACTGCGAGGAGTTCTGCAAAGTCAAGCCCAAAAATACGAAGCAACCTGAGAAGGAGAAGAAGAGAGTCCTGGGTTTTGTTCTTCTGAGGGGTGAAAATATCGTATCCCTGACGGTGGAGGGGCCTCCACCCCCCGAGGAGGGTCTTCCAAGAGTTCCTATTCCAGGAGCAGCACCAGGTCCAGGAATGGGTCGTGCTGCTGGAAGAGGAATGCCAGCAAATGTTGCTGGAGTGCCTGCGGGTCTCCAGGGGCCAGTGAGAGGTGTTGGAGGTCCTTCCCAACAGATTATGACACCAGCTGGAAGAGGGCAGGTATCTGCACCACCTCAGATGCATCCTGGGGGTCCACCTAGGATGCCTGTCAGTGGACCACCACCTGGAATGATGGGACCACCTCCTGGCATGATGGGTAATTATTTTTTGGTCATTGTTTCAGTCATTTCAGTAGATTTATTCGGAAAATTCTCATTCAATTGAATTTGTCTAGGAATGCCACCAGGAATGCCTCCAATGGGACGTGGAGGGCCACCCATGGGGCCTCCAGGCATGAGGGGACCACCTCCAGGAATGATGAGAGGAGGGCCACCACCTCGTCCTTATTAATTAAAGAAATCCACTCCTTTTAAGATAATTCATGATAATTTGAGAAAAATGAGAAACAATAAATTTTCTTACGTTGATAACACCAAATACACGATAAAGAATAATAAAAACCACTGAGTTTGCAGTAACCAGAGTTCTCTAATTTATTGAAATACTCTCACGTATTTATCATTAATTAAATAAATAAATTTCTCAGTAGTCATTTCTAGAAATTAATTTTTTCACTCTTTAACAATTTTATGAATGTTCTCTCCTCTTCTAATTAATCAATCCATCATGAAGAAACGATAAAGAAATCGAAAATTGATTCATCGGTTAAATTTTTTAATAATCTCGTTCCGCATAATTTCATTTTATTTTCTCTTCCACAATTAATAATCTTTTCCATCAATTTTTTCTTTCTTACGAAATCTTGCAAAAAATATTCTTGGCACTTATCTCGATAACTTAGATTATAAATTCAATGAGCAATCGGTGTTGTTTAAAAATAAATCTGATCTTCTCAAAAGCCCTCGGTTACACTAATAATTTATATGACATCGATTACTCTCTTTACATAAATAAAAAAAAAAGTTGCTAACGCTGGTGAACAAAAATCCTCGAAACTTACATTTACACGTATAAAATATATATTAATAATATTCTTCAAGCTGTGGTACGTTCTGATGATTTCACTGGTTTTTTTTTCCCACTGGGAATTGAAGAATTCAACAATTTAGGATTATTCTCTCGGGGTAATAGAATTTGTTACGAGTCGAGGTGATTGAGCTGTTCGACGTGAGACGTCTGCACTGGGGGATCATCACCGAGAGTTAGTGAGCCCTCGGAGGGATAATTCTCCAGGGCAATTGTTTCAGAGGGCAGAGATGTGGTAAATAGGTCAAGAGGTGATGAAACTGCCTCTTCAATTTGAATTTCACACACGGTGTCATCTAGAAAATTAAACAAACGATTTTCCTGGATTTTCAATGAAGATTTTAAAAAAACTCACCAGTCGGTTCGAAATTATATATTTCAGTTTGAGCATCCATTAAAACAGTCTCACTCTCCCCCTCAATGAGTATTTCCCCATCAACAGTTTCCTCAGTTATTTCAATCATTTCCTCCGTCTCTCCCTCGCAATTACCCCCAGAAAAGTCATTACTGCAATAAAAATTCACAATGAAAATAAAATCATTCAAAAACAATATTCAAATAATTCACCTCTGCTCATCATCTCCAGCAATTGCATCTCCCAGCCCTTCATCCTGCCCCAAGTCCTCAGTATTTACACAATGACTCATCTCTCCAGTAGAATCAATTGAGCCAGTCTTGGAGTTCATATCAAAGAAATCCTCGTGGTGATTCTCCAAGTCTAAGTCATCCTGCCTGACCCCCAACACAACAGCATCCACTGATTTTTCAACACCTTGATTTATTATCTGCTCGTTATTATTCGGAAACTGCTCTGGCATTATCACGACGGGTTTACTGGAGATTCGTAAATTGTCCTCTATAATTAATTCATTAGAGCTGTCCTCCCCGGCGTGCGATAATTTCATTCCTTTTTGTACCATAATTATATTTTTTTTCGATCCAAATCTAGATTTATTTAAACTTCTGATATTTATTGTGTTATTGAAGTTCAATTTAATTCTCTTTTTTACAACTTCATCATTGAGGACTTCAGCCTTGGAATTACTCCTCTCCCCTTCAGACGATGAAACCCTGGACCCTAGATCATCCTCGAAGTTGCCCCCTGACCCATCAGAAACAATCGAATTCTCCTCGCTATTTGTACTTTGTATCCTCTCCACACTCGATGAATTCGATGTACCCAATGAATTCTCCACTTTCACCTCCTCAGGATAATCCTCATTAACTCTATCAAATTCGCTCTCTTCAATCCTGTCTATCTCTTCTTTAATCATCTCATCCACCTCCACCTTCACTGCATCTTCATCTCGAATGGAATTCCAACCCTCGGGATCCACCTCACCCTCGTCATTAATATCGTAATTAATTTTTGTAATGGCAGTGTCTGACGCTCGTTTTATCTCTAATTGGCAAGCTATCGTACTTGTGCTTTCGCTATCTTGAATTTTATCTTCTGGAGGTACTGTACAATTTTGGGGTAGCGATGGAGGGTCTTCCTGGGGTTGAGGAACTCCTGGGGATTTCGATATTGATGTCTCATGATTTTTTACAACATCAGCGGAATTAAACGGCAGTGGTGATGATCTTATTTCATTACTTGAGTCATTACTTATCGTCCTAATAATTGCACCATGATTATACATATCACTGGTACTCAGTTTGGGATTTCTCAGGTCTTGGGAATTATCTGGTAATGATTTTTTTCGCTTTCTCCCACGAGTCTTCGGTGGTAACTTCTGCAGGGGCTTCTCAGGGGGCACATCATCGAGAGATGTCTCAGTTTTAACTATTGACTCAGCTCGTCTCTCCTCGAATGGCACTTTCTTTTCGTTAGCAGTTGCTATTACCAGTGATAAACTATTCGCCAAACCAGTGAATGCTGTGTGAGCTTTTAATCGCGGCAACAGAGGAATTGTTCTCCTTCCCTCGATCGCCCAATCCGTCCAAGTATTTGGCCCATTCAATTGTTCAGCAATAATTGACAGTTTTTCATCATTGGCAGCTCGTCTGACCTCCGCTCGATGCCTTTCATTCGAGATATGAAGTACTTTCGTCAATTCTTCCAGAAGTCTCTTCTTGTCATCGGTAAAGGGCCCCTGGGCCCTCAACACCGACACCATATTTCCATAGGCATCCAACTCTGTCCCAGAGCAATAAATAAAAAAATTTACCAAACCCCGAATTATTGTGGCTTCATGACGATAAAAAAAATCAGAGAATTCGCGATAAATTAGCATAAACTCTGGAGAAATACAAAACATCTTGTGAACGTTTTGATGATAAATTGAGTGTCAGGGAGAAGGACGAGGGGAATTCAATGAAGAAAAATGGGTACCTCGTGGGAAAATCATGTCAGGGTAATTTTAGAAGGAAATTATCGTGCATCTCTTGGAGATGATGCTCTTCCTGAATTGACATAACCTTACCCAAACACCTGAGACACTTTCTGCATTCGTCTCGAGTCATGTCCATTCTCGTTTGCCACATTGTCACTAATTATTTCAAGTCTCCTACCAGCTGTCAATCTTTTATATGATTATTTACACGTAATTCCCACATCTCAGAGTCAATGTTGACAGGAGAACGTTCAGTTTGCTATGAAGTTGTCGTCAATTTATTGCGAAATAATGGGCGAGTGCTCATGTCAAGTTTTTTCAAAAAATAATTATAACTCTACCCACAGTGGCGCCAGAATCCCCAAAAATGGCGGGAAAATCCTCAGTATCATAACAATAGTCATACGACTTGACAAGTTTTGACAGTTGGAATTTCCGAGGTGCCAAAGACAATTGACACCTCGAAAAACGAGAGAGAGCATCGCAAAGTGTCAAAGAGTCAAAAAATCTAGTGACTGTTCAAGACAAAAAAAAAATAATGGCAGACGATGAGAGGAAGGCAGGTGCCCTGAAGAGATTGAAGGAGTTGAAGACAACAAAAGGAAAGAAAGCTCTTGGGGCTGAGGAGGCGATAACAATTCTGAAGGACGAGGCAGCAAGAGGAGGACTTGAGACTGAAGATATCGAGACAATTGTCGATCTGATAACGAGCACTGATTTGCGGGCAGGTCTATGTGTTCCTCTGATCCACTGCCTCATCCCCAGGAACAAAGTCCCGGAGAAAATCGTCGAGGATGTGATAAACTTCTGGTTCCACAAGTGGAATGATCTACCAATTACTGTCGCCAGTACTATCATCCAGTGGTTGACAGGTCTCTGGGAATATCAGCTGGTGGACAGACAGACGATTAACGCCTACTACGATTGTTTTTTTCATAATATGTTGAAGAAGGAGCGTTTGGTGAGCCATTGCAGAATTTATCTCCCAAGGAATCTAGAATATGGAAATAAAATTCAATAATCTCCCTGAATTTTCAGGAATCTCCCACTGCAAAATTAGTCTATCTAATGACAAAGCCAGAAGACGTGGCTCGTCGTCAGGTATTTCGTCTGCTGCGTCTCCAGGACAAGTACACCAAACCCCCGAAGCACCTGTCAGCTCTTCTGTCTTTATTCAAGTCGTATAAACCAGAGCTAGTCCCAGAGAAGATACCATCCCTCAATTTGGAGAGTGTGTGGAAGCCCATCCCCGAGGTATTTCGTCTGGGGTTCGAGGAAGCGAAGAGTAGGAGCTCGCAGAGGGACATCCAGAGTCAAGAGCACTTTGACTGGAATATAATCAGGCATGCAGATGGAAAAAAAACAGAGCAACTGCTTCCCTCCATCAGGTACTTCCAGATGGGCTCGAGCATCTATCGAGATAAAACCACAAAGTCCATATTTGATCTCAGCAATATCACGGACGTGGGGAAGTACTACTTCAGCGTGGAATTACCCACAAATGCAACATCATTGCTTGCCAACAGTGCAGGGTATCACTTCCTGACGTTCGCTAATTACGAGTATCAGAGCAGATTCTCTCATAATCTTTATAATGCCCTGAGGAGGGCCTTCATACTGGAGTCCAGTAGATTCTCCAAGGGGCAGAAGACGCAGCTGCTGGAGATGACGATTGAATTCTGCAGGTACATGCAGCAGGGGATTCCAGTGGTTCTTCGATTCTTCCTGGAATATCTCCCTTACGAATCCGGGGAGTATCGCCCTCAACTCCTGGGAATTCTCGAGTGGTGCACGCACATCAGTGCGACAGAACTCCAGGACACCCTAGCCCCACACCTCGAGGAGATTTTTCTGGAGTCGACGATTACCCAGAGATGCAGGATAATTCGATCCCTCCGTAGATTTTTGAGAAATATATTCGTTAATCAGAATTTTGGGGCAGATATCAAGTCATCTCCCTTCCTGGGGCAAAAACCCTCGAACGAATTGACAGATCTTCTACCCCCAACCCTCGCCATTGTCCAGGATCTCGTGATAAAGGGGCTGAACTCGTCCTCGAATGATCCCCTGATCCTCAACGAGGCGCTGAGTTTTTACGAAGAGGTTCACATGCTGGTAAAGACCTCTGACACACCAGGACTTATTATCGCCCCATCACCAGTCGTTTATGGAGCCTTTTGCAGCAGGAGTTGTGCCCTCATCTCCAGGATCTGTGGTCTACTACTCATGTACAGGGAAACCTGTCTGGAGCTCCAGAGAATTGGACTCAGGGGAGAATTCGTGGAGGATGTGCAGAAGGTTCTGGGGTATGGGAATGACCTGGGGAATGCCCTCTGGAACTCCAGGATCTTCTCGGGGGGCCCTGACGGCTTTTTCCAGGGAATGGCTGAGGGGGTTGAGGAGGGACTGCCTCAGGATGCTGACGCCAGGCTCGATATCATGAGGCATATCGCATTTTTACCGTATGTTTACACCCTAGGACAGACTGGCCTCGATATACCGAGCAAGGAAGCTGCTCTCGTCATGGCTCAACAGTATTTTCCCAATGTCTTTGAGTTTATCGAAAAATTTGATCAGCCCATCGAAGGTGAGGACTGATATTTCGTTTTAAAATCATCAATGAATTGGAATCGTTTAAATTTCAATGCCTTAATGCAAATGAAAATACTTTTTCTACTTGAATAACGTAAATCTCCTTCTTGGAGACGACAATGGATTTTTCCATTTAATTATATGAATAAATTAACAAAAATAATTTGATAATAATCAGAGTTCAACTGTTTATTTCCTCCAATTTACATACAAAGTTTCATTTTCATCTTCTTCGTGTAATTATCTCCCTCATTTACATCTCACTGCAGTCTTCCATACACATGCATTACGTTTTCCTTCCAATGATTCTTTCCTTGGAGTAGGAAAACCCGATTCTACCGAAAACCGTTGACGTTAGAGGAAAATGTCGTGAGACATTTGCGTGGGAGATATCCTCCTCCGAAATAAATTCCTTTAACATTTTTCTCGTAATCGATGTCCTGCCCAGATAATTGCGGGTATAATTTCCTCTCCAATCAGTGGATTTCTCACGATTAATTAACAAATTCATCGATTAATTAATCCTTAGGCACTGATTACACACATGTGCCTCTAATCCACTTGGAACTCGTGTGTGCGTCACTCAAAACTATTTCTAATGATTTTTTTTTTCATTCAATTACCTAATTCTTTGTTTATCCTTAAACATACGTCGATATTAAATTAAATGAGCTAATTACCTCAATCGTTGAATTTTGATAATATTTTCTTGATAATGGGAATAAATTTGTAAATGAATATTTATCCCTTATAATTCACGAAGACAAATGAAAATTTCATTCGTATCTCTCGCTAATTACTCGCATTAATTATCTCATTTAATTTAATTACATGCACCTGCGATCTCAGGGGTTTCCGTGATCAATCATTCCTCTAGGACATTTAATAACCCTATGAGTGATCTGTACGTATCGGTGTAATTACGTACTAATAATTCTATTAATTATGTTGAATAATTGTTCACCACCATGACTTTCTACGTTTTTGATAATAACGAAAGTACAGGAGGATATATTTTAGCATCGAAGTGATGGAAAATCCTGAGTCGATTCATTGAATTTCGCTAATTACAGCTGTTGTTATTAGCAAAATAATCCTCTTATCATTTTCCATCCCTCGAGTCACTTTCCTGATCTAATTACTAATTTTGTTAATGATTTTCTGACTGTGCCAAAGAGAGCAGACGCTCTTCGATGAAATCTTTACGTCTCGATACTCTTTCAACATTTTTCGATGGTAAAAATATCGTATTCGTAATATTAATTTGTTATAAAATATAGTCTACCACGAGTATTCAGTTATTCGTAACAATTATTCTCAAAGAAAGCATTCACATTTTCTCCATTTAATTGTCTTAATAATTGGTTTTGATATTATATATTTCGATTTTTTCTTCAACTACTTCACTCAATTTATTCATTAATTTCATACTACTTGCCTTGACTTGAACATCTCATTTTCATTTCTTTACAGTTTTCTTTTTTTTTCAAAGAAGGGCTGAGGCAGTGACATCAGCTCAATTAAAAATTAATTAAATTAATGAATCGATGGTGAAATGCAGTTCCCTATGGCACAAGATTGTTCGAAGAAATTGATCTCTTTCAGACTGAATTACTTCCAATGATTGAATGATTAATTAGCGAAAAATAATTAGTACTTTCGTAATTATAAACATTAGAAGCATCATGGTAAATTCCAAAGCAATGGCTCGTTATTTCCACATTTCAAAAAATAAATTCTAAATTCAATAAAAGAGGATCTCATACTTTAATCATTAACTTTAAACAATTTAATGTAACATTACTAAAGTATTATCGTGATTTATAAACGTTAACGGTAATGACAATAAATAATAAGACTCGATAATTTGACAGTCCTACAAAATTGAAAGAAGCTGGATGAAACCCTCTTGCGTGAAATTTTAATTATTCAATTACTTGTGCTTCAATTGTTTCAATTAATAATCATGTGGTCGACAGTTTATTGATTTTAATTTAATTCGGCGTTGGTGAGATCGTCCAAAGTGGTGAAACATAATAAAAACGAGGAAATTCTCTTGCGAATCGAATGGATTATTTCATTAATGAATTCATTAGGTTAAACCACTTCGATTTATATTGATTAAATATCAAATATCTCAGGGTTCAAGAGATAACGACAAAAGGGCCAAAAAATGATCAATGATTAATGAAGGATTCAATCGGTACTAAATTTAATACTAAATCTAAAAACATTTCTCATTTTGTTCTAATATTACAAATGCTCGAGCAGGGATGGACCGCTCTTCACTAAATTACGAAATAAACTAGGAACATATCCACTGTTTGATTGAACAAAATAATTAGCAAACTTGTTTAATAAACGCCACCTATTTTTAAGAAATTATAATCATCCAGCAGTGAATTGACTCGAATTTTTCAATTTTATCAATAAATTGAATGACTCCACTACTGATTTGTCATAATAGTTGTCATGAAAAACCTAATAAAATTTATTTTATCTAAAAAAAAATACTGCAATTATCGTCGAGATGAGTAATAACAAAAATAAAGACAAAAAATGATGGATAAAGTCCATTCACAAATAAAAATAATTGAAAGCCAGTGAAAAAAAAATAATGAAAATCACTGATTGTGGGAATAATAGAAAAATTATGACAAGTTTGCTAATATGCCCCTCAAATTTTGAACATCCATCTTTGGCACAGTACATTAAGTAAAAAAAAAGAAAAATATAAACGAAACAAAAGCGAAAATTGAATAGTTGCAAGCAGTACAAGTGTCGACGAATATTCCAAAATAAATCTCTCTCCAGAATTTCAGTACACACATAATTTTTCACCTCATAATTCGTGAACTTCAACCCAAAACAGGATGAGTCCTGTGAACTTCACAATTAGTCTTCACGAAATATCTCCAAACCTAAGAGAGATATGAAATTTTTTATAAGAACTTTCTTGTAATTCTTGAAGTTCCTCAGGAATAAGATAATAACAAAAATTTCGCTATACCCCTTGGATCAGGAGATATTTGCAAAAAACTAATGAAGAAAAACTCATTCTATTGTTCCACTTTCTAATTTCCACTGGACTACACCAAACAAAAAAAGAAAAAAACTGTTATGATAAACGATAATAAAGGGGTTTCGTATTGCTAGCATGAAACTGTGAACATAAACAATGCTCTGTCAATGATATTTCACTTAATGTTTAAATAATTACAATAATTATTCCAATCTTTGCAAACATGTTCCTCTCCCAGTTGTCGGTGGAAATATCTTCAGACTTCACCAAAGAAAAATCAAACCTAGATTTTTCACTTCACAATTCAATTATTAATGACAACGAATAATTGAAAAATTCGAAAAAATCAATTTTCACTGGAGATAATTATTTGGTTGTTTCGATTTCTCAATTTTCCTTCATCACAACATTTTCTCTCGTCACTTCACTAGAGAAAAAACATGTTTATTTGTCCATTCGAGACCATTTTATCGAAAATAGGGGGATTCACTGGATTAATGATTCAGTCCCAGTCTCCATCGCTGTCGAGGGCCATTTCCTCATCGTCCTCGATTTCTGAGACAATTGGCTCCTCGACTGGATCCTCGTCGTCTATAAATGTGCTGCGAGGACGTTTAATTCCTTTGCGTTTTCTTGCCGCTAGTTCCTCCTGGGTACGGGGCTTACGAAATTCCTGGACTAGAGGGAATATTTTTTCAACAGCACTGGCAACCAAAGCGACACTCGATGCTGAAATAAAAATCCAAGAATTTTTATGAACATTAAAAAGCTACACATCCCTAAAACCACATTGAGTCAATTATTAATAAATTAATTACAGAATCATTTGCTATAATATCAAAATCAAGATACAACTACCTGTTATTGTCACATTGCCGGTGGAAAATATTTTGAGAGTTGCTTTGGGATCTGTCAGTTTATACGTCACTCCAGGATGCAATTCTGGCTCATAACTAAAAAATGGAGTTGATGAAGCTCATTGAAGTACGATTATTAATTAAAAATTATGAAAATTAATAATTTACTCTGCATGATCTCTGTGGGCAGCTGAAAATGGAGTGATTCTGATGTCCCACGGCATGAGACACGTGCCAAGTACATTGACAACTCGAAAATTACTAAATCTAACATTGAAACCTAGTTTAGCTAAACATCTAGCTATTCTCCTCGCTGCTTTTTTGGCATCAGCCTCACTCTCAGCTCCAGTGCACGATATTTTGCCTGATGACCAGATTGATGCTGTCGTCGAGGGATTTCGAAGTTTCATTGTGATCATCCCATGCTCTCTTTTGTACTCCACGTTGGCACCCCTCAGGGCTATTTCTCTCAAGTTCAAGTGACATCGAACGCTAAAGCTGCAGACAACATTACGTATGACAATATCAATCTCCCTGGGTGCATCACTCTCATCAACTGGCATGCCTGGTGGAGAGCTATTGGGGGTCTCAGTCTCATTAATTGTTCCACCGTTTTGCAAATTATCTACTTGCTTCTCGACGTGATTGAAGGAGCCATTCGTTAGTGGTCTCATGCCATTCTCCTGAACAGCAGTTGCCATCATATTATCGACCTGAATATCAACCCAAAAATTTATTAATTACACCCAATTCTCTTCAATAATTAACTATTTATGAGACTCATCCAGAAATCCCTGTTTTTCACGCATATCTAATAATTATATAGCATAATTAATTAGCATTCAAAAAATCATCACTGACGTTTAGCTAATATTGATTGCCACCAGGACGTGGGGGACGTGGGATTTTATTAAACATTGAAAAATGCATTAACGAGGAAGCTGTGTTCATAGAAAAATTCAGTTCTCATAAAAACCTCGACCCAATTTACCCGAAACCCACCCCCACCCCGAATAACCCCATGACCTCATTTAATCATCTCCTAAAATTCTCCAATTCCACTCGATTCTCAAAAAATAATAAATATTCATCACAACACTATCATACAATTATTTTATCATTAACTCGCACTCACATTAATAAATTATCGAACGATAGAAATTATAAATTCGTTATTATAAATAATTTAAGAATGAGGTCAATCGGCACTCCCTTGAAAAAATATTAAAAAAAAAATTGAAGAATGCAGAAGTTAATAAAAAACAATTTATGATTGTTGAAAAATCGTATTCACCCCCCAAAGAACCCCAACCCCTAAAATTCGATTAATCATCAAGATTCCTTAATTGCCTTCACCTCTCACAGAATAAAGAATTAAAATCCCCTCATAAATTGTTTAAAAAAATCAATCAATAAAACAAAAAAAATCCTTGATTCCCAAGAAAATAACCCCCAAAATAGAAAAACCATTTCTGAAGAATCCTAACCCCCCAAATCACCCCCTAAACCCCCACCCCACGACAAAAATTCCCATCCACCCCCAACACCCAAAACCCCCCCCCAAAAAAAATGAGAACCAAAGGGTCGTAAAAACCCGAAGCGAAAGCCGATGGAATTTTCTCCCGAAAAAGCTCTGACTATCAGGCAGAATAAAGAGGAAATACCGATAAAAAAAAATAAAGTAAAAATCGAGGGTACTACAAGCAATGACTAATTCCCGGAGATCATAGGATGAATCAACGAGATTCACAGCCTCCAGACTGATCCGATGATTTGACAGTGGTTTGAGGTAATATCGAGACAAAAAATCGTTGGTCTATCATCCGTTTTAGTGCAACTACGGCCCCCCCAAGAGAACGATTGATAAATTGTTGTTAAATAATCGTTAATCATTGGATAATGGTGATTTGATTGTTGCCGATACTTACGGTGTGTTGGGCTGTCCTTGGGTCTCTGTAGATTGATTATCTGGGTTTTGTTGACAATTTTTTTTAATGCTAAACGACGGAGTCACAACGATTTGCCATTGTTCTCAGCCATTATTCAGTGGACTACCGCCTACCGTCGACCATCCGACGGCCACTACCGAGAATTATTTCAACGATGAGTGTGATATCTACGTTTTGTAGATGGCAGAGTCGACAGATTATTTTAGAAGCGGAATTCACCCCGGAGAGGGGGGGCAAACATCCCCGGTGTGGGAATCCCTCACCATTTCGCGGGTTCATTTCAAATTCTAAATGCTGATTTTTAGAAACATCACCCCTCTACTATTTAATAATTCAATAATTACAAGGAATTAACAATGATTGTGGGAATGAACACCAGGTTGTACTAAAAATAAATAAATTCAATTGAATGAACAAGAAAATCTGGCGAATAGCATTTAATATCAAATTGATAAATTGAAAATTCACTTTCCCAGTGCCATTGTTATAAAATCGAAGAGTAATTCGGGCTTTTTGTGGTAGAGATCCTTGAAGTCACTCCTGCTGACGATTTTTTTCTTGTTCTCGGACAGGAAATTAATCGTAAATTTTCTCAATTGCACTGCATTGTACATGTCAGCTACATCCAGAATCAGAAGTGCATTATCAATATTCAATTGTTTACACAATTGATTCTGGCATACGTGTTTGAGGCTCTCGAGGCCATATTTTTCAGCAACAATGAGAACACTGAGGGCCATCTGAACGTCATCGAGGGCACGTGCGTCGTGGGTGTAGATGTACCTGAGGACTTCCTTCATCACTGGCAATTCGATATCCTCGATTACCACTCGATTCTCCTGGGACTCCTTCATCGGGGTAATGAACATTTTCAAGAATTCACGACTAGATGCTGCTAGCAGAAACTTGTGCACAGGCAACGACTCCTCACCAATTATTATCTTGAAGTCACTGAGTTCTTCGTTCAGATAAAAATACTCAAAACCTGAAATCAAATGAAACTATTCATTTTTCTTCGTACTCAATCTTCAATCATTGAATTTTAACAATAATTAATAATCATTGACAATAAAAATTAATTAGATAAATAGGACTGAAAGTTTATTGTTTAATTCAAATTAATAAACACCTGGACCCATCTGGTGAGCAGGTAGTGGTGGTATTTCATCGATAAATCCGTACCAAACGTTCAGTACCATAATGTGAACTCTGTCGATTTCTCGAAGAACATTCGCCTTGATGACATTCCAGAAGCAATAATCCTCTGTCCAATCATCCAGCCTTACCATTCTGTCCACCGACATGTCGATGAAGCTCACTGTTATATTGGCTTTCGCTGGCTTTGCATTTTTCTTCCCCACCTGTATATCCAGTCCATTTCTGTTGTTTATTCTCGCTGAGTAGATGAAGTCACAAGGATCCGGTGATTTAATATTGCTCTTCTTGAATTCAATCCATTCAGTCGTCAATTCTTTTATCTGGATCCACTCCACAATCCAGAAGGACGTGGGCCGCTTCCTCGCTGGAAAATTCGCAGATTCTTTGAAATAACTCGACGATCTAATGCCTAAATTAAATTAATCATTAATTTTGTAGGAATTGGAGTAATTGGCTTACCAAAACGATCACCACATTCTCCTCCTGACACTTCCATTTCCATGATATTATTTCTTGTTATTCGTTTCTTTTCAATTTGGCCTCTCGAATATTTTCTATTATCTTTTGTTTATTCTCCTCTGAATAATATCGTCAAGCAATATTTGTACATTATTCGATTCAATCATGGGATTCGATTTAATTCAAATTCCTCATTTATATTTACAATTTTATGTCATCTCACAGTCTTGAGATTCGTTACAATGATTATTTTTCATTCCTCACATTCATCCTATGTACAGTATTTATTAAATTTTTTTTGTTTGATGTTTATGTCATTTTATGAAGTTCTTCATAATCTGAAATATGAAATAATAGGATTAAATGTCATTGATGGAAAATTGGAATTGGAATTGGCGAAATTTTCATTTTCAAATTATCCTGGAAAGTATTCCTAATTCAACCGCTTGTTATTGCACTCTAGTAATTAATTCCAATTGATTTATTTAATTGACGAATAAGTACTCACCATTTTATGAAGTCGCTTTTTCAAGTGCTTGCTCTTTTTTTTCAATGTAAATCCTAAATAACTTTCCAGAAAATACGCATTGAAATATTTTACTCCATTTTCCTCCGGAGGAGACGTGGAGAGGAGGGCGCCTGCGCAGTGGTGACCTATAGAATGAAGAGCCGGAGAGTGGCGGGGAATTCAGAATTTCGTTTACGCTCTTCGACGAGTTTTCACGGAATATCTCGGAAATTAAGGGAAATAATGGGATCGCAGTCATGACCTTTTTTGTACATCTCCTTGGGCTGGATGAAAAAGGTTCAATAAAAAATTCGGTATATCCTTTGGATCCGGAGATATTCGTGGCTAACCGACCGCAAGGATCACGATTACGATTTTATCGAATTGAATTTTCAGAAAAAACCTGCAGCATCGAAATCTCCGAGTTTTTGGGACGATATATTTTTTAAATTCCACTTTAGGTACAATAAATTATTTTACACGGATATCACGTGCATCTGATAAAACGCTCAACCAATAATAAACAAATTAAGATTCAGACGCAATCCCTTAACGGTATACATACCTGATTTCATGATCCATCTGTTAGAGTGGACACTGTCCTCCCTCTCGACTCGTTTTATCTCCCCGAGAAAATATTGTCTCTCCAACCATTGAAATCCCCGAAATTCCACGAAAATTCTAAAAAAGAAAGAACCAAAAAAATATTTTCCGTCAAATTAAACGGGCGGAAAATTTCAAAAAAATTCTGGTGACAATTGGAGTGTCCACGGAGTGGGAAATTCACCTGCGGATTATGTTTCAAGGCCTTAATTTTCAAAGGCAAGCTGAAAGGAGTTGTCTGCCCCTTCCTCTCAGTTTCTAGTCTCACTACCTTGATTGGTAGCATTTCAGCTTGTCCCAGTGTACGCTTGCTCTTCGTGAACGAAACCTCAATCCTGTTCTTGCGTTTGTTATTAAATTGTGAATTATTTATATAGGATTTTGTAAATTACCTGGATTGAGTGAAGAATTTTTTTTTGTTGTGAAGATCTTGAAGGAAAGGTGCCCCACTGGGTCCAGGTGAGTCATCAGGGCCTGAAATAAATTATTCATTATATTTCAGGGATAAATATTTAATTGTATCAATACTTAAAAATAATTCGATGAGAAAGTCAACTCGTGGAAACCTGCGAATAAATTAAATGTTTAAATATTTTTTATGACAAAATATTCGAAAGAAATCGCCGGAAATATTTAACTCGCGTTTTTATTGATGACAGAATGAAAAATTACGGAATTTCTTTTTAAAAGAATGAATATTTACGCAGGCCTTAGAGGAGAGCATTAAAAAATTCATGAATCAAAGAAATAAATGAAACCTTCACTCATAAAAAAATTATTTTCCACCTGCAATTCAATTCGCAATCTGTGGGAAAGATTCTCGCAATTTATTTACATCAATAAAATAACGCCTGGGTGGAGAGGGGGGTAAATGAGATCATAGAATTATTGGAATGTTGATTATTTCACTGGAAAACGAGTGACAATATCGGTGATATAATTTCAATGAATGAAAATAGAGAATGACAGGATAGAATTCGTTGGGAAATATGTTTTCACTGGTATGGGAAAGGCGTAGGTGTGCGTCCATTTACTCGGAAGGTGGATCATGTTATTCTACCTACGTGTTACCCTTGGCCACATCCGATGCCCCAAGACGAAAAAGTCCAACCTGCAGGGGAATGATTAGATCATGCCTATAAGAATATTTTAAATCTACAGTCGAGTGGCGGAAGAACGGAGTTACTTCGAGATTATCTCAGCAACCAAGAGAGATAATTAAATTTTTGTTACGACCTTTTTTGTAGAACTCTCCGAGAGCTAGAAAAAAGATAATTACAAAAATTTCGTTATCTCCCTCAGTTTCCTAGATATTCAACATCCACTGGATTATAAGATATAAATCTTTCATTCTGCATTTTGAAATCATCAAAACTTCTCTCTCCTCCTTCACTCCATAAATAAATAAATAAATAAAAACAAATAATGCAGAACCCATGACCCCATTTTCTCATTTAACACATCCCAAGGTCATTGATCTTTTCCCGCCGCTTATGGAATTGGAAAGAGGGACTTTATTCCACCACTGGCTCGGTGTAAAAAAAAGAAAGATGAAAAAAGAGAAAGATGGAGAAAAAAAGTGAAAGAATGAAAGAAAAAAGAATGAGGAGCTCGTCATTTTGTTGCAAGAAGTATTTGGCCCACTTTGAAGTTTCACGCGAGAAAAAGAGGGGAATACCGGCTCTTGGTGATAGAATTAACCGGCGCATAACACTTCCTCAATTTACACCGACATATCATCCTGTTCCAATTAAAAATGCCACCTGTCACGTCGACAGTTATGCAACCCTGTATTCACCAAAAATTATTTCTGTATCCGGTTTTATCGATTATTAATTGGGGGATTCCCCGGCGGAACCGTACGAGATGAATAATGGGTTCGAAATTCAATATTATTATTAATTAATTGACAGATGATGTAAAAAAAATTATCAATGTCAACTCAATGTCATAATTTCTCGCTCATCTCAGGAATTACCCATAAACTCATCAATTCGCGGATTGAAAATGTAATTAATCATGAAATTACGTGATTATGCAATTTCCTTATTCAATGAAATTTACGCGGTGAGGGAAAAACAAGAGGGAATCCCCGGGAAAATCCTGTACGCAAGGTCAAAGGTGTGAGCACTGAGAAAAATAATGAATACGTTAATTAATATTGACAACAAAGAAAAAGTATTCAACAAAATGTTTCAATTAATTTGCCGTCATCGTTGGGAATAAAAAAGCACCAGCACGCGGTCTCATGAACTCTCTATCGACTCCAGATGTTATTGTTTGATATTTTTTTATTGTTTGCGGTGCAATTACGAGTGGAGTTATGCAGCTGAAACCGTTGGTTTCCATCTGGCAGAGTCAACGCCGATTTGTCGACTCTGATTTCTGAATAGAAAGTAGACAGGAAAAACATTACAACGGCCAAAAGAGAAATATTAAGTCATCATTTTTCACATTCAGCGGAAAATTTAGCGACGAGTCATGACAGTCGATTTGTCAAGGTGTCAAATACTCAGAGAAATCGTAAACCTATGCTCGAGGTTTGCGCTAATCATTTGGCAAACAGAAATAAAATCCTGAATTCCCGGATTTTCTTCGGTCATCATTGATTATTTTTCCCTTGAAAACCAACTTTTCATTTAAATACTAGTATTTCCACTTTAGAAATCGATTTTCACCAATCGATTGAATTATTTCATTAAATTATTCATTATTCATTAATATCATTACCGTAAATTGCTCATAATCAATGTTATATGTCTGAAAGAATGAAAAACCGGAAGTCCGAAGAAAAACTTACGTAATTTTCTCTTCCAGAATCTTCACCTCAAGATGAGGACATTATTCGCATTTTTCCTCACAGTATTAGCGACAGTGACAGCGGAACCGTACGTAAAAATACTCAGTATTGTTAAATATTCAGCGTAAATAATGGAAGTAAACAATCTATACTTTTTTTTTTCACCAACAACAGGTACTACACGGTCGTTGCTCCAAAAGTGGTGCGTCCCAATTCTGAGTACCACGTAGCAGTCTCCATTACCGGTGTATCAACACCATCAGAAATAATCGTTGAGCTCGACGGAATACTTGATAACGGAGAGATCTTCAGGGTGTACCACGAAGACATCGTCGAGCCCTACATCACGAGACTCTACAAACTAGACGTTAGAATCCAAATTTTTTTCCAAATTCTTCCCCAAAAATTCCAAAAATACATCACATACTTGAAATATAATTATATTAAATATATGTGATGGATATATTAAAAGGTATTTTCAACCTTTTTCTGTAGATCGGAGATACGACACCAGGGAGATACCAGTTGACCGTGAAAGGAAGGAGCGGTCTTCTTTTTAGTAATACGACGGATGTTCAGTACGTGCACAAGAGCTACTCCGTATTCATTCAGACGGATCGAGCTGTATACAAGCCTGGAAGTAAAGTCCTCTTCCGTTGTATAGTTTTGGATTCGAGATTGAGACCAGCTCTCACGAGACAGCTTGATGTATACATCACGGTGAGCCGATGTATATCCTGCACCGATCCATTCGATTTTGTTGATATTCCAATAATTTTCCTGTAGCCGCAGCGAATACTCACTAAAATCTCCAATCCTAATGATCATCCTCCCCTCATTAAATACATTATGAATATAAATATATAAATATTTGGAAAACCTTTTATAACTGCTGTTCCCAGGACGGAAATGGTAACCGGATAAAGCATTGGATCCGTCCATCCTTGACTCGTGGCATCTTCACCGGAGAGCTGGAGCTCTCTTCATCCCCAGTCCTCGGTGACTGGAAGATCATAATAAATGTAGTGGACCAGACATTCGAGAAGTCGTTCCAGGTCGCTGAATATGTCCTCCCAAAGTTTCAAGTATCAATAGACGTGCCTAAACACTCGACCTTCAAATCGGGAAAGGTAACAGCAACCATTCGTGCTGACTACACCTACGGTAAGCCAGTCAAGGGTGAGGCCACAATCACCGCCTACCCGGACTTCTTCTCGGGTGTCCTTCAGCCGATCTTTACACCACCAGTTCGCAAGGTCTTGCCCATCGATGGCAAGGTAACCGTGGACTTTGATATCACATCAGAGCTGAAGCTGTCGGATGAATACGAGAGACCGATCGAGATTGAGGCGACAGTCGAGGAGGCACTCACAGGCAGAAGACAGAATGTAACGACGCAGATGACACTTCACAAGCACAAGTACACGATGGAGTTGATCAAGACATCGGAGTACTACAAGCCAGGGCTCAAGTACACGGCCTTCATCAAGATCGCTCATCATGATGGATCACCGGTGAGGGACAAGACTAATGCTGTCGTCATCTCCTACGGCTATACATTCAATCAATCAGCGTACACCAATATCACCAGGATGCTGGATGACAACGGAATGATTCAGCTAGACTTCTATCCCCCGGAGAAGATCAGCACGGATGATCTGGCATCACCTCTCAACATCGAGGCCGAATACCTGAATCTTCACGAATGGTTTCCATCCACCAATCAAGCAATGTCCCCCTCTGGTAGCTACATCCAGGCAGTGGTGAAAACCGAGAGCCCTCAGGTGAATCACGAGGTGGAAGTGGAGGTGAATTCAACGGAAGTCCTCAAGTATCTCAATTACGAGGTGCTCGGTAGAGGGGATATCCTCAATGCTGGATCTGTCCCTGTGGATGGAAGAGTTGGGAGTTTCAGATTTCTGGCGACTTACGTGATGGCACCAACGGCTCATGTTCTTGTTTATTATACGAAGGAGGATGGGGAGGTCGTGGCCGATGCCCTCGATATTGAGCTGGATGGAACCCTCCAGAACTTCGTCGAGGTGAGCGTCAAACCGGGAGAGACTGGACCTGGACAGACCGTCGACCTGAACATCACCAGTCGGCCCAACTCTTTTGTTGGTGTTCTCGGTGTAGATCAGAGATCGATTCTGTTGAAAAGTGGAAATGATATTAGCAGGGAAGATGTCATGAAGGAGCTCAGGGGGTATGACATGAGCGAGGAGAGCCCTTACGACGGAGAAGGCTGGAGAATGTTCTGGAGGCCGGGTAGTGCAACAGCGCAGGATGTCTTTGACGTAAGGACCATGAAATGGTGGCCAAAACCTGGAAATCAGAAAAATCAGAACATGATCATTAAAAAGTTTTGATATTATCATCCGGTATTGCATTTATTTTATTAAAATTTCATTTTCTTCACAGAAAACAGGAACAGTGATCTTAACAAACGCCCGCGTCCCCGAGAACCTTCCTCTTCGTAAGTACCAGAAGACATAACGCATTAGTCGCATCCAAATAGATCACTAACCACACATCATGCAAAGTACAATCATCAGCATAATTGAACCATAAAAATATTCAGAGTACCCATTGTATTAAAAATAAATGCGACAGTAAAGCGTGTGAGTTAATAGAGCATAAAACCCAAGAGATTAATGAACAGAGAATAATTGATATTTTAACAATAGGTAATCTCGAATCTCTTTCTATTTCCGTAGTATTCTACAGATCGGGCTTGGGTTTTGCCGAACCCCCAATGTTCGCCATGGGGGAAGAGCTCGATTCAGCTGGGGCAATCCCTACCGCCAACAAGCCCAAAGTCCGCAAGAATTTCCCTGAAACGTGGCTTTGGCAAACAATTGAAACCGGGTAATTCCGTAACTTCAATTCAATGAATAATTAATCATGAGTACAAGATTCGCTCCGGAATTTTAGCGTTTTCAGCTTCTCTACTAACATCATCAGCCCTAACATTTTCATAAATTTCCTAACTCAAATTTGATTAATCATTGATAGTAAATTAATATTGTGTAATGATTCTTCGAAATATTTCATGGTAGAGGAGTTTGATTCGGTGTCTGATGAATTCATTTCCATAAAATCATTCATTACCATTTAATTGAAAAAATAAATGGGGGAATCCCACGAGACTTAACTGGAATGATTTATCTGAGGTGAATTCAGTCAGAGCCATCGATGAAGGTAAGAGAATTAGTAGATAATTGGATTGCAGGGCGTCCAGGATATCTGGAGGGTAGAGTTCGAGGCTCTGGCCACGGGGAGTCAACCCTACGTCCTGACATTGGTCCCCCAGTCACCCACAGACTCGTCACAAGACCACCACTGGCTGGTCCCTACGCATTCTCACGTATCCCAACCCCTGTATGGAATAGGCCCCGTGTTTTCCTTATGCATGACATCTCCAACACTTGGCTTTTCACCAATTTCTCCTCAGGGTATTTATCTGCTATCATTTCTATCCATTGGTTATACCATTTGTGAGATCCACTCGTTGCTATTCTCTCTATTCTATTACTCGTTCAATATTTATCGATTGATCCTGATGATAATACCCGTGAATTTATTAAGACTGAAGGGAGAGACTGTCCTGAGAAAATCCGTGCCTGATTCCATCACTTCGTGGGTCATCACTGCATTTTCCGTTGATTCGACTTATGGTCTCGGTCTCATTGAAGCTCCACGAAAGGTAAATACTCTGATTACTCCATGAGTTCTTTGATCCTGAGAAATTAATGTTAAATTTTCAGCTCAAAGTCTTCAAACCATTCTTCATATCGGTGGATCTACCCTATTCTGTGATGAGAGGTGAAATCGTCGCCATTCCAATAGTCGTATTCAACTACATGGACCGAGATATCACAGCTGATGTAACGGTAGAACACTCCGGACAATTTGAATTCGCTGAAGTATCCAACGAGGTCCACGACAACGGCCCAAAGCTGGAGCTTTACAGAACAAAAAGAGTCGATGTGAAAGCGAATTCTGGTGCTGGTGTTTCGTTCATGGTAATCCCCAGGGAATTGGGTTACATTCCACTAAAGGCAACAGCTACTAGTAAAATCGCTGGAGACAGTGTGGAGCATAAATTACTAGTCAAGGCGGAAGGTGAGACCCAATACCGAAATCGTGCTGTCTTCCTGGACCTGAGAACAGTTTCGTCCCTCACCACGAACATCACTGTGGACATTCCCAAGAATATAGTCCCGGGTTCTGAGCACATAGAGATCTCCGCCGTGGGTGACATCCTGGGGCCGAGCATTCCAAATCTAGAATCCCTGATAAAATTGCCATTCGGTTGCGGTGAGCAGAACATGCTGAACCTTGTGCCTAACATCGTGATCCTTAATTACCTGAAGAATACGAATCAGCTGACACAAGCTATTCAGGGTAAGGCCATGCGTTACCTGGAGGTGGGTTATCAGCAGGAGTTGACATATCGTCACAAGGACGGCTCCTTCAGTGCCTTCGGGGAGTCAGATGAATCCGGTAGCACTTGGTTGACAGCATTCGTAGCGAAATCTTTTAAACAAGCTTCAGAGTACATCACAGTTGAAGACAGGATCATCAACGAGGCGCTACTCTGGCTTTCCGAGGTTCAGGCATCAAATGGATCATTTCCGGAGGTCGGCAGGGTATCCCACAAGGACATGCAGGGCGGTGCCTCGAAGGGTCTGGCCCTCACTGCTTACACTTTAACCGCTTTTCTGGAAAATCCCGAAGCGCAGTCGAAGTACAGGAACACCATCAACAAAGGAGTCGATTACATCGTCAGGAATATGGAGGGACTCGATGATTTGTACGCTTTGAGTATTTGCGTTTATGTTCTCAATTTGGCAAAGCATCCTTACGAGGACGCTGCATTCGGGAGACTAGAGTTCAAGGCGACGACGAAGGAGGACATGAAGTGGTGGAACAAGACTGTTGATAAGGATGATAAGAATCCATGGTTCAACGCTCTACCTCGATCAGTCGACGTTGAGATGACGTCTTACACACTCATGACGTACCTCAGAAGAAATCTCGTGAGTGATGCCATTCCTGTCATGAAGTGGCTGGTGAAGCAGAGGAATCCAGAGGGTGGTTTCTCATCTACTCAGGACACTGTCGTCGGTATATACGCCCTGTCGAAGCTCGCGGAGAGACTTCTGACGAAGGAAAATAATATTGCCATCACAATTAATTATGAGGGCGGTGGTAGGAGCACGATGAACATCAATGGAGCCAATGCCATGATTCTCCAGAAGCATTTGCTCCCGAGGAAGACTAGGGTCGTCAATATCACAGCTTCTGGTACTGGCTTCGCTGTTATTCAGGTGTCGACGCAGTTCAATTTGAATGTGACGGGGGCCTGGCCTCTGTTTACATTGGATCCTCAGGTTGACAAGAACTCTAATGAGAATCATCTGCAATTGTCCATATGCTCTGGATTTGTACCCACGAAGGAGAGCAATGAGAGTAACATGGCGGTGATGGAAGTGAGTCTACCTTCTGGATTCACTGTCGATAGGGACTCACTACCGAGTCTTGAGGTGTCGCAGAATGTCAAGAGAGTCGAGACCAGGAATGGAGATACCATGGTTGTTCTCTACTTTGATAAAATGGTCAGGAAGGAGTACTGTCCCACTGTCTCCGCATTCAGAACCCACAAGGTCGCCAAACAGAAGCCTGTACCTGTGTCTATTTACGATTATTACGATTCGTGTGAGTAAATTAAAAATTGTTCAACGAAAATAATTGGAGAAATTAATTAATACTTTGGGTTGGATTTTTTTGGTTTTTTTCTTCAGCGAGGAGAGCTAGGGTATTCTATGAGCTTCGTGAATTGAATCTCTGTGATGTCTGCGAGGACGAGGACTGCGGCGACTTGTGCACGACAAAACCCGGTGTACCAGGAACTCGAGGATCTAGGGATCCCAATGGCGCGTCCCTGGTGCACATTTGTACATATTTACTGATTATCCCGGTGTACATCATCCTCACGAGAACCTGATTGCCCTATCCAAATTGTTGAGATATTTCTAGAGTTTTTAGAAGGTTTGGTAAATGCCGATGTGGGGAATTTCTGCGTGTAATCAAAGTGATAAATGAGTATTTATGTAGAGTTTCTAGGTTTAAGAATTAATGTGTTTATTTTTTAATAAAGAATATATTAATTAATGAGAACAGTCTATTTATTTTTGACTCCTCAATTTTATTTTTGCTTAATCACCGATTAATTTGATATTTCAGATATTATTTATCGCGTGGGAATTAATTAATTAATTAATTCCTTTCCATCGATATTCAATAAATATTTATATTTCTAGAAACTAAAAAGTACAATAAAAAACCGGTTTTGTTTAAAACTCACGCCCTTTTTAGGCCTCTCGACGCATGCGCCCTGCCTGTCATTTTTTTCTTACAAAAAAAAATTGCCGTAAACATTAACGCACGTGGGGCTGTCAATTATTAAGACAAAATTTAATAGTAGATCTCAATTGTTGTTTAAACAATCATTGAAAATGAAAGTTGATGGAATTATTGAAGAAGTGGTAATTGAGCCCGGGAAAATTCAACCAATAATTGGTGAGTTATTTTTAACCTCAAACCCCTCGATTCCATCGACTCCAATTCTTATAAAAAATTATTTATAATTAATTCCTTATCCTGTCGATCCCAGTTAATTTTCAGAATGGACAACTGAAAGACACAGAAGCGAGAAAAATGAAGTCAGGAATATTTCACGATGAGAAAAAAAATAAAACAGTTCTGGCAATGTCAAATGGTCAAGTTGTGTACCGAGGATATCGTCCAGACCCCACGAAAGAGCTGACGTACACGATGCTGGCAATTCACAACAGAAAAACTGGTAAAATTCGTCTTATTCAGGCAGAGAGATGGCAAGTTGCTCCAGTCCTGGATCGAGAGCCAGAGAGAAACGACGAGATCGATGGAAATCGACTGATGATGCTGAACAGAACATTTGGATCTAAAAAAGTCAAACGAAGGACTGAACAGTACGAGAAGATGAAAGTCAATGTCGAGGCAGTCCAGCAGCAGCTGGAGGACACCGTCTCCAGTGCGTTAATCCCCCTTTTTTCAATTCCACATCAATTATTCAAATGATAATTGAAATGAAATGTCAATCAGTGAATTTATAAAAAAATCTGGAGTGATCCAGTAATTAATTTATCAAATGGAATTATTTTCAGAGGTGGAAATTGACAGAGACGATTTGACACCTAAAATTGAGGATCAATCAACAGCAGATCTGCCCCCATGCAACAGAGATGCTACACTCGTTGAAGATGTTTATAGTCTTCACGATATCATTCCCAAGGACCTTCTCAAAACCCTGCAATCTCAGATTGAATATATTGAAACCCAAGAGAGGTACAAATTCTCTCTTCTCCCCCTATTTTAATTGCATCTTATTTCGATAATAAATAATCACTGATGAATTGATTTTGCTGCAGAACATCGGAATTCTACCTGCGAACATTGAGAGCCATCAAGGCCAGCCCCCAAAGCGAGAAGAAGATCGCAATACTGGAGTTTATTTACTCAATCGTCACCTGGTTGAGTTTGCCATTGAAAGACGCGAAGAAGAAGACCAACGAAATTTGTCCAGTGTCTCCAGAAGTTTCTCAACATATTCTAGAAACGTACAGCGTGAATAGTACATCAGGAAGGTGACGAATAATTCAAATTTTCATTAACAAATGTCATGCAAAAATGACAATTAAAACAAAACCGTTTTGCAATGGATAAATTGTCATAAAATGGATTTTATGTTGATTTTCCTTCAGGTTACGACCAGCAAGTGTCAGAGACAAGGCCTTGATCCACTGCATAATTCTCTCCCTGATGATATCAGGATTTAAATTAGATCTGGAGATGTTTGGAAGTCTCATAACAGGTCGACTAGGATTGAAAAAGCTTCTGGAGCTAGCGAGAATAGTCGGTGCAATGCCAACGAAAAATGACAAGCGGCTAGTGATGCTGAGGGTGCCAATGCCCTCGGCACCGACCCTCGTCCACAGAGGAAAGAGAAAAACCATGTAATAATTATTAAACGCATTAATTTTCTGCTCTTTCAACGACACCAATAAACAATAAAATATTTCTAATGCACGAATTTTTATCAAGTCATTTGTGTTTGCTTCACATTATTCTAATTCTCAGAATAATGACTCGGTTTCGCATTCCGCACTGAAATTATCGAGCGATAAATCATAACAGTTATCGTACGCAGACGTTGAGAATTCCAAAGAGATGACAATGCATCGTAAACATAAATTAATGATTTACACGTTGAAAACAATTTATTTGTGATATCAGAATTTCAAATAAAAAAAATTGAAGTCCAAGGCGGCAAATCCCTTTCCTAGGAAAGACTTCTGACAATTTTAATTGAATTAAAATTGTATATACTGAAAATAAAATTCAATTATTAGTTAAAATAAAAATTATTATGAATAATTAGCTCAGTTTAGTTAATTAATTACTTCTGTCTGAGGTACGGGCTTAAATTTCGACAGGTCATCGACTGAGACGGGGTTGGCAATGACAAAAGAAATACAACCAGTGGCAATACTTGCGATAATCAAAAAGATCTTGATCGAGTTCATAATGACGGTTGAAATAATTCAATTCCAAAATCTCAAAGACGCGTGACAAGCAATTCGTATTTTTTGTTCGACCGCGGTTTCACGGATCTTATATACGCAGAAATTCGTCCCCGACAAAACTCTCAACATAAATAGAATATATTAAGACATGGAATCATTCGTTAAAAATCTAATAGTAAAAATAAACACTGAGTTGTTACCTTCAAGGAGACGATAAGAAAATATTGAAATACAGAGTAGAAATGCTCGTTCAACGAATAAAAATGGATGTGAATCCCCGACAACTGAAGCAGCTGTCCAAAACTTTCTCCCACCGACATCTCAATCCATTATTAATCCTGAAAAAACACCGCGTGATAATATTTCATTCATGCAAGATTATTCCCCGTAGAATATTTTCCTTTCTCATACCGTTACAAAATTAATGGTAAAATGATATTCCGTGCAAGTCCATAATGAATAATTAACGAGCACGAAGAATTGTCACAGGTAGTGCACCACGCAAGGGCCGCAGTACAACATATTCCTGCAAAGACCAACCATCAATAAACTAGTGCATAAAAATGCATTCGGAGTGGAAGGAAGATGTGCACTACGCCCTAGGATTCACCAAGCTCTGGTGTCAAGCTCTCGGTATCTGGCCATGGGATAGAAACATAAAATTCTCGATTCTCCGACGTACCTTCGCATTCGCAACACAGGTACAGCCCTAATAACGACCTAAATGATAATGAATGTAATAATCCATTGAACCAAGGTTGCATCTAGTGTCTTACTGATGGAAAGACTATCAGTATACGGCCACTGCGGTCTGAGAATATCCCTGATAGATGCCCTCGGCATAACAAGTGCATTCTTGATATCAGCGACAAAAATTCTGATACTATCACTCCAAAAAGACCGACTGCGCGATATACTGCAGTCATTAATAAATGATTGGGTTAACATTCGGGGAGCGAGTGATCTCCAGATAATGAAGGAACGTGCGCTCTGGGGACGTTCAGCTTTTATTGTTCAAATAGGTGTTGCTGTTGTAGCTGTAATTGATTTATCAGTGACCAGATATCCATCATTCGGTGGTCCAGTCGGGAATGACACAACTAGAACCATCATAATGGGACCGTCATGCTGGATTCCTGATGACATGTCTTTTGGAGCTTATCTGGTGATTTATTATTTGATGTTTATCAGCTTGTGGGTGTGCTGTGGTGTGTACACCGGGTGTGGTGCACTCATGTTCAGCGTTGCCTTGCATATTTGTGGTCAGTTTGAAATACTGAATACGAGTCTAGATGATTTGACGGATGATGACAATCACTACCAGCAACGCAGAAAAATTAAGGAGTACTCCAGGCGACATAATGAATTATTACTCGTGGGTAATCAGCTCAATCATATGCTCTATTTGATAATATTCACTGAAATCCTTGGGAGCTGTTTTTTGGTTTGCATTTCAGGTGAATATCATTCGTATGAAGATCCAATGGGTTTTCATCGAAATAAAAATGGGAACAGAATGGGGCGAGGGTTATCAGATAATTATTTTAATTAATAATTAATGTGATTATTTCAGGTGTTGCTATCATGATGCAAGTGAAAAATGGAAATGTCGATAAAGATATTATTAATTATGCCCTGAGAATGGGTGTTGCTTACACTGGACTGCTACTGTACAGCTATGTTGGTGAACAATTGTTTATTCAAGCTGAAAAATCGAGATTAACGATTTATCAGTGTCCGTGGTACAATTTCTCACCGGGAATGATCAAGGATTTTAAGTTCATAATGATGCGGAATGATTCCTTCTGTTATCTGACGAGCGGTGGAATTTCTATTATCAATTATGAACAGATCAAGGATTTAACTCGGATCATGTTTTCATACTTCTCTGTTTTCAAGGTCATGTTAGAGTAAATGGTGTAGTTACCACTAGTAAGGCATAGGTAGTAGTAAATTTTTTTAGCAATAATTGGCGTTTGTCATTCAATGCCCGATTACCAGTCAGTCTTCACTCCTCCGATAAGACCGATTATTAAATATGCAATCTCTGCGAAGGTTGCATTGTTAAAAGGTGCATAATGTTTTCGATGAGATAACAATTTATCAATTCAATTACGTCGGGGTTGACAAGTTTTTCTCGTTGTGGGGCGATATGGTTTTCCAATCGAAGAGGTATGAATGATCCGTTTTATTTGTCAGCTGTCAGGTGTTCCTTCTTCACGACTGGATTATCAATTCAAAACTGAAGCCTCTAGACCGGCGAGACCGTCTCCCATCTTCCTACATCATTGATGTTCAGAAAACAGCACATGATAATGCATCATTCACCCCGAAATATTCCTCCGCCATTATTGTATTTTTTTTCGTGGAAGTGTTACAGAATTCATGGGAGAAGAGCGCATTGTGTATTGTAACAATGAATAATAAATTAGACTGGAGCAGCCGATGCTCACGCAGGGGGTGAACCACCCGCCAGTCCAACATTGTCTTCTGTAACAGAAACATCAATAAAATCTTCGATCTCCACGGAAAAAATGCAAGTGCAGTGGAACAAGGACATGCAGTACGCCCTGGGCTTCTCCAAACTCTGGTGTCAATCCCTCGGCATTTGGCAATCACAATCCAGTGGATTTCATTCCTTCCTGAGGGTTGGAGTTCTGGTAGTGATTGAGGTATCGAACTGGGCAATCCCCAGACAATCGTTAATACAACAGTCGATTTTGTGAAGGTTGCTGCATCCATTCTCCTGATGGAAAAGCTAATAAAATACGGCAACTGTGGCTTGATGGTAAATTTATTAGATGCAGTAACTGGAATTTGCGGATTCACCGTGGCAGTAGGAAAAGTTCTGAGCCTTTCCCTCCAAAAACACCGAGTGTCTTATGTTATGAGATCAGCAATGGTAGATTGGTCAAATGTCAGTGAGCCAAAAACTCGTCAAATTATGACTCATTATGCGTTCTGGGGACGTCTAGCATGTGTCATTCAACTAATTGCTACAGCCGCTGTTGTCTTGGAATTTGCATTTACTCGATATCCGTTTTTCGCCGCCGTTGATAATTCCAGTTCATCAATCAGAAGTTTAATGTTGGGACCTCCATGCTGGATCCCTGTTGCAATGCCTGTCGGCCTTTATTTAACCCAATATTATCTAATCTTCTTCGGTTTGTGGGTCGTTGCATTCCTCTACAGCTCCTGCGATGCATTCATTATCAGCAATGCCCTGCATATTTGCGGTCAGTTTGAAATACTCAATATGACCTTTGATGACTGGCGTCCAGAAGAGAGTGATTCAAACGCGAGGTACAGAATACGAAAATACTCGAAACGTCACAACGAGCTGTTGCTGCTAGGCAATCAGTTCAATCAGTTGGTCAATATCTCCATTTTACTTGGCATTTTTGGGAATTGCTTCATCGTTTGCTCCTCAGGTATATATTTTTACTCTATAGTTTTACAGTTTTATTAATGTTCATTGGTCGTATTTAGGAATTGCTCTTCTCATCTCTATGAAGAATGGAAATGCTCTCGAGGATGTCATCAATTGTGTAGTCAGAATTTATGTTGGCTACATGTCATTGTTTATGTACAGCTATTTTGGAGAGAAAATGTTTTACCAAGCGGAAAATTCCAGGATGACTGCGTACGGATGCCCGTGGTATATTATGCCGTCGGATATTATCAAAGATATTCAATTTATTATAATGCGGAATAATTCCTTCTGCCATTTAACTATTGGTGGAGTTTTGATTATGAATTATGAGAGTTTCAAGCAATTGACACGACTCATGTTTTCGTCCTTCTCAATTCTCAAATTGATGATTGAATAAAAAAAAAAAACACGTGCCGTTATAAAATAATCTGCATCGGTCATTTATTTCTATCTGATTATTCTCCCCGTATTCTACAATTTTCAATTGCATGGCAAAAATCTGAATAGACTAATAAATAAAATGAGGGAAAATTAATCTGGATTGAGTCAAATTTTTTTTTTTCAAAGCAAAAGTTATGACTGGTCCGTTTTATTTCTCACCTGTCAGGTGTTCCTTCACGACTGGATTATCAATTTGGAACTGAAGCCTCTAGACCGGCGAGACCGTCTCCCATCTTCCTACATCATTGATGTTCAGAAAACAGCACATGATACTGCATCATTCACCCCGGAATATTCCTCCGCCATTATTGTATTTTTTTTTCGTGGAAGTGTTACAGAATTCATGGGAGAAGAGCGCATTGTGTATTGTAACAATGAATAATAAATTAGACTGGAGCAGCCGATGCTCACGCAGAGGGTGAACCACCCGCCAGTCCAACATTGTCTTCTGTAACAGAAACATCAATAAAATCTTCGATCTCCACGGAAAAAATGCAAGTGCAGTGGAACAAGGACATGCAGTACGCCCTGGGCTTCTCCAAACTCTGGTGTCAATCCCTCGGCATTTGGCAATCACAATCCAGTGGATTTCATTCCTTCCTGAGGGTTGGAGTTCTGGTAGTGATTGAGGTATCGAACATGGCAATCCCCAGACAATGATTAATACAACAATCAATTTTGTGAAGGTTGCTGCATTTATTGTCCTGACGGAAAAGCTAATAAAATACGGCAACTGTGGCTTGATCCTAGATTTATTAGAGGCATTAACTGGATCTTGTGGACTTATCGTAGCAGTGGGAAAAGTTGTGAGTCTTTCCCTCCAAAAAAATCGAGTGTCTCTGATAATAAGATCAGCAATGATAGATTGGACAAATGTCATTGAACCAAGAATTTCTCAAATAATGATTAATTATGCATTCTGGGGACGTCTGGCTTATATAATCCAACTCATTGCCACAACAGCTATTATTTTGCAATTTGCATTGACTCGACCACCGTCATTCAACGCAGTTGATAATTCCAGTTCATCAGTCAGAAATATAATGTTTGGTCCTTCGTGCTGGATTCCTGCTGCAATGCCCATCAGTATGTATTTGTTACATTACTATCTGATCTTCCTTGGCTTGTGGGTCCTTGCATTTCTCTACAGCACCTGTGACGCATTTATAATCAGCAATGCCCTCCATATTTGCGGTCAATTTGAAATCCTCAATATGACCCTTTCCGACTGGAGTACAGTGAACAATTATTCAAATCAGAAGAACAGAATAAAAAAATACTCCAAGCGACACAACCAACTGCTGCTGCTAGGCAATGAATTCAATCAATTGATCAATTTCTCTGTCCTATCTGGTATTTTTGGCAATTGCTTTCTTATTTGCTCTTCAGGTATTTATTTAATCTCTAGCGTTTGCTGAATAATTTCATTAACATTTGGTGTATGTATTTAGGAATTGCTATTCTCATTTGCATCAAGAATGGAAATCCTTTCAATGATATCGCCAATTTTATCGTGAGAATTTATGTCGGCTACTTGTCGCTCTTTATGTACAGCTATTTTGGAGAAAAAATGTTCTACCAGGCGGAAAGCTCCAGGATGACTGCGTACGGATGCCCCTGGTACACTATGACGTCGGATATTATCAAAGATATTCAATTTATTATAATGCGGAATAATTCATTCTGCTATCTTACTATTGGCGGGGTTTTGATTATGAATTATGAGAGTTTCAAACGATTGACACGAGTCATGTTTTCGTCCTTCTCAATTCTCAAATTGGTGATTGAATAAAATAAAACTGGTGCCGCTATAAAAAAATCTGCATCAGTAACTTGTTTATATTTTATTATTTCCCCCTGCGGTCTATTTTTCAAGTACATAGGAAAAATCTGAGCAGAATAATAAATAGATTAAATGAAAATAAATGAGTGATTAATTTTTTTTAGCATTTTTGGAAAAGGTTCTAAATAAAATCCTTCACTCCAATGACTGCTTTGACATTTTCAATAAATTTTATTCAACACAGAAAATCGGTTTACATATTCCATCGAATTCATTTAGGGCATATCGTTAACACGGCTGGATACAATGTGGAGAATACACCGCAAATCCATACCTCGAAGAATTCCTGGGCCTTCTCGAATATCTGGGGTAAATCAGCGAGGCAGAGTCTGTATCCAGAAATTGTCAGGCATTTTTCTTGATCAGCCAGACCCAATTCCGTGGTCCCTAATTAATTCAATCAAAAATCCTCCATTTAATTATCAATTCTTGAAATCAATCCAGAAATATTTCCATCAACCCCTCTATTATATAATCATCTCGATAAAGACTCGATTATTTATTTTTCAATCATTTAAAACAACAATTAATAACAAAAGGAATGAGTGATTTTTTTTTTTAATTTTCTTGGAATTTCTCTCGATTTAATTCACTTTTTTTTTATTTTAATTAAAAATATAAATAAAAAATCACCACTGGGTGCGGCAAATGCACAGCCGATGACAGTGACAGCTGCCAAAATGAAAAATAACTTTGATGAATTCATTTTATCCGCGAACAATAGACCTCGGTGGCTTTTTTTTAAATGAATCCAAAGTAACTAGTGCTATTCGGTTTAACTTGTCTTACAATGCACAGAGATAATGAGTCGCCTTTTATACTATCAGGGCAATATTTCCTCGTATTTTATGCTGCAGTTATTCACTGCTTCCGGAAAATATTTGGAGCGGGGATGGGGTAGAATAAATAATGAAATCCGGAAAAAAAAAATGGCCATTGGTGAATGAAAATTTTTTCGGTGAAAGAGTGATTTGTTTTGGAGGAAAAATTCATTTTTATTTTCCCTGAAAATTCATGCACTCGATCAATTCTATGAATATTCTTTATTTTATTTATTATCCATCAGAATAATAATTCACCAGACTTTATGGATTGATTCTAATAATTTATTTATTGCGGAGAGAATTAATCCTTCGAGTCATTTTTTTTTATTGACAAATTCTTCAATAATAAATTCGGAATTGAACAACAAGTGATAACCAATCAATTGAAAATATAAATATATGTTAAACAATTCATTTTATATGCTATTAATTATGTTAATCCTTTGGGTAATGGATTGAGGTAATTAAATCATGAGTTAGCAGTTGTTCATTTATTTATTTATTAACTCACTGATTTCAGGAATGCGTGGAGGTGTGACGTCATCGGCGATTGACATTCTGTTGTCTATGCACATTATTCTTTTGCATAAATAATTTTAATTCCATATTATCCGGACGTTGAGTATTTTTTACCCATCGGTTTTCCGTATTTTCCTCGTGTGAATCACCTAAAATTCGAAATTACTCCCTCGGAATTCGAGAGTTAATGATGGAATTATAATTATTTTATTAATTAATGTTCATTAGTGATTTCAACGGGTGATTCATGATTTTATCATTTTTTATTTCATTTTTATTCAGTAGATCTGCAGGGAAATTGCCAGAAAATTGTAAATTATTATGTAAAATCCATGAATAAATTTAATTGCAAATTTAAAAGTACTTGAGATTAATGACGTCATCGGGAAAAAAGTGAGGAATATATCCAGTGAGATGTTGAGTAATTGCAGGAATAGTGCGAGCAATGAACTCGTTAATTGCACGAGCACCTGCAATTGAGAGTTTCTATAATTATTGAAAAATAATTATTAAATAATTATTGAAAACTTTAGGGACTGGCATTGACAGTACAATTGTGGATTTTTTAAAAATAGAACCTGAAGGGAAATACTTGTTGTTGTGCAAAAAAAGCTGCACTCTTACTCGACTAATTTTTAAGGCAAATTTTTTACTATGAATTTTTATCTGTGGAGTTGATAACAATTACCATTATCTCCGGTGATGAGAACTGCGCAGTGGGAGTGAAGAAATCAAGTGGTAAAAATTGTTTTCCATGCTCACAACAATTCTTACTCCTACGGAATTTCAAAATGTTGTGTTGAAAAAATCCAACAAGCGACATTCACACTTGTTCAATCATTTGTCCAGTTGTTTATTTAAAAAAATAATGCTCAAGCATAAAATACCACGAAATGTAGACGAAAAACTCCGTAAATTGTCAAATAAATTGTCTTATCAGGACTCTCGGTGATATATAACACGACAAATTGTTCATTCCATTGCAAAATGAAAAACAATTTGTTTAATTCACTTCATTAACAACTCCCGACTATTTTTACAATCCCAGAAATTATTTATAAATATAAATTCAAAGTCTAAAATTTAGAGATCCATAAATATTTTCAGGCATCACAATAACCCCTCAATT